CTTGCCTGCCTCCTTCTCTCTCTCTCTCTTTCTCTTTCTCTCTCTTTCTCTCTCTTTTCTCTCTCTCTCTCTCTCTTTCTCTTTCTTTCCCTCTCTTTCTTTTTCCTTTCCTCTCTGAGAGGGAGAGAGAGAAAAAAACATGTCTCTCTTTCTCTTCTCTTTCTCTCTTTCCCTGGTGCCACTGTATCGCCCACAGGATGAGGGACAGCTTGCCTAGGTCCTGTTGGGGCTCGGCTGGTCTTTCCCGGGGCCGACCATTGGGGACCATTTGCTCCACCTCGGGCATCTCCGCTAACAACAATTCTTCCTGCTATGGATCTCACTCTCTCTCTTTTTCTCTCTTTCTCTCTCTTTCTCTCTCTTTCTTCTTTTTTCTTTCCTCTCTCTCTCTCTTTTTCTCTTTCTCTCTTTTTATTTTTTCTCTTTATTTTGGCTCGCGTTTTTTTTCCTTTATTTTTCTCATTGTTTTTTCTCTTTTTTGTTTAACCTTTTTTTCTTTCCTTTTGTCTCTTCTTTGTTCTCTTTTTTCTCTCTCTCTTTGTTTTTTTCCTCTTTGATTTGTTTGTTGGTATTGTTGTTGATGGAATTAACGGGTTCTCTCTGGTATATATATGTATATATTTGATAGATTTTATATTTTATTATGGTAGACGAATTATTGTTTTGTTTTGTTTTTTTTGCTTAGATTGTTTTTTATGGGATGGTGGGAATATTGAAAAGAATATTGTATATTGTTGGGGTTGAAAGTTTTGGGATTTAGTTTAGATAGGTTTTGGGATGGTTTGGGGTAATATTGAGGTAATTTTTTATGATTTTGTTTTGGGTGTTATTAATAAAAAATTAAAAAGGATATAGGATTCGAATATAAAAAAATAGATATTATATATTGTTCGAAATATTATTATGATTATTTCGTCGAAAATTCAATTTTTGAGATAATGAAAAGGAGGAAAAAACATGGACATTCCACAACCATTTTTATAGGGAGGATTTTATTGGATGGATATTGGGAGATATAGTTAGTGAGGCATTTCGGTTTTAGGATAGGTAGGCGGTGAGATATTTGTAAATTCTTTTGTTTAGTGATGAGATTGTTGTTTTTGCTTGTTTTTAGCGATGAAATTCTTGATTGATAATATTAGATTACTTTTGCTTATTAGAATCCGAAATTTCTTTAATTTGGGTTTGGTATTAATTTTTTAAAAGTGGAGAGTAAATTTTGGGAATAGTTCTCCGAATTGATTTTTTGAGGGGGTTGGTGTTAGGCCTAATTTGGAGAGCTTTTTCGTTTTCGAAGGTAGGGTTGGACGAGTTATTCTGAGAATATCTCGTTACGATTGGTATTATTAATTAAGAATCTCGTTGTTGGAAACAATGAAGGATCGTAATCTTGTCGTTGGGCAAAAGAATTTGTAAATATCTCGTCGTGCTTTTTCCGGCTATCTTTTAATAGCCGTTTAATGGAAATCCTATAAGATGATTATGGTATCTCCCTTTTCTTCCTCTTATAACCTGCTTAGCCTGCTTTTGGTACGATATAATTAAGAAATTATAATAATAAATATACTATATCTATGTTATAGATTATTTTTCTCTTAACAATATTTAAATAATATATATTAATTTTATATATATAATAAATATAATATATAAATAATATATATTATATGGTTTTAATAATTATTACTATATATATATATTTTATAAATATAAATAATTATTGATTATTTTTATATATAATAAATTTAAATAAATGAAATTAAAACATATAATAAATATTGATATTTATATATATTAATAATATAATTTAATTTAATAAAATATAATAATTTCAATTTTAATATTAATTTGTTTTAAATATTTATTATAATTTAATAACTATTAATTGATAAAATTACATTTATTATTTATATATATATTATAATATTATAATACTTAATAATTTCTGTAATTATATTAAATTATAATAAATTAAATTATATATATATATATTTAAATAATTTTACGATATAATGTTTTAAAATTATGATTATATATATATATATATTTAAATAATAATATTGTTTTTTATTATATTAAAAAAAATGATTTAATATATTTTCTATGTTTGTTATATTTAATTAAAACGTGTAATGGCAATATTTTATTATATTTTCGATTAACAAAATATATTTTTAAATTAGTTAAAAATTATATTTCTGTTTTGTTTTTCTTTTAATAATATATTATATTTTTTTATAATACCATTGGGAATTTATTTAAAATATAGAAAAAGAAAATATATCTTAGTTCAATATCTTAGGATATAATTGGCAATTCAATGCAAATTATTAAATCGAGATATTCGAAAATACCAATAACAAAATAGAATCGGGAAATATAATTTTACCCCCTCCATAACCCAACACAAACCAAACACAGAAAAATGGCCGAGAATCTCGATCCAAAAAACACAAATTCCTCGTAATTCAAGGAATAACAACTCTACCAAAAACAAGCTAAGTACAACAATCGTAAAAAATATCGTCATATCTAAAAAACAATCGAAACAATCATCGAGAGCAAAACCAAAGAATCTAATCCATTTTCCTTAGAGTATTCCTCCAAAATCATTTATATATATAGTCAAATATCGTCTCCCGATGCCTTTCATATATCAAATAATGATTTCTCTATAATTCAAACAAGATTCGGGTTATAAATTGGGTTCCAAGATATAAAATATCTTTTTCATCCATTATACGAACATCAAATCGAAAGAATCATGTTCCCTTAATATCCAATCCACCCATATAATCTCAAACCAAATAATCAATGTTTTAAACCATATGTCAATTCCATAAATCATCATACATATATTTATTTTCGACATATTAATTTATTACTATAAATAATTCCTATATTGTTCCTAAAATATAAAAAAAAAATGTAAATGCTATATTCAATGCCAACCATAAAAAATGATTAAATTATTTATAAAATTCCCATCATTATAATATTCATAAATCCTATTTGGAAATTAATAAATAAAAATATCATATATATAAATAAAAATCGTGATTCAATCTATAAAAAAAAAAATGTGTATAATCTATTTATATTTATATACCATAAAAAAAAGAAAATAAACACTAAACATATCTAAATTTTAACAATAGGAAAATTATATATCATCCCATTTAAATATAAAATTCCAAATACTAAACCAACCATCTATACCTAAAATCTTAAAAATATACAATCATATTTATACAAATATATCTATTTATTATATCAATTAATACATTATTTTAAAATACATAATTATCAACCTTCTTATTTATTATATCTTCAATATCAATTTAAATAAATAAATAAACAAAATATATAATTTAATTTAAATGTAAACGAAAAATCTTATAAACAAGAAATAGAAATTATATATATAAATTCGAATCACATTAATTCCGAAACATAATTCCAAATATATATTCATCCAATCAAAAAAAATATCATAAAATATTATAATCAAACAAACCTATTATATTAAATAAAATCTATCTTTTTCATCAACCATGTACCCTATTATTCTTATCCATTTTTTCTTCCTTCAATAATATATACACATGGTGGTTGATCTAAATTCCTTTGTCTCGAAACGGCCATTCTTCGCGAATATAAAAGTTACTTTCGCGAATCTTTCGCGGATTCATCGCCGTGCTCCTTTCATTTCTCGAGTCGGAGAATCGCAGCTTTTAAGTGCCAGCGTTGCAAGCGAAATGACGATTTCCCAACTCCAGCTGTAAAGTCGCAACAATTCATCACAGGGGTAGTACATGACATGCGCCGGCTGGAAAGTCGCAGCTTTTCGTTCGCCGTGCAGCTCCAGCTTGAAGTCGCAGATTTCCAGTACCAAGCTAGTATACTGACTAGATCGGCGCTCAGACTATACCTCCCCTTGCAATCGAAGCCTGCGCTTTCGCGCGGGCTTTCGTGGATCTTTCGCGGAACTTTCGCGAAAAATCACCCACGTTTCAGAGCGGAAAGCCACCGACTAACACCCACAGACACACATACACAGGCTTGGAGCACTAACCAGCCAACCAGGGTATCAAACTGTAGCCTCACCAGGCTTAATTTGCGCAACATCAACAAAGTGTTTTAATCAGAATAGAAGGAAGGCTCAGCAGAAAAGATGAACGGTTCCACATATCATTGATTAACCAGATACAGTTACGCAAAACTTTCGCGAGAAAAAAAGTTACTTTCGCAACTCCATCGCGAATCTTTCGCGGAGCTACCTCAACCAACACCGATGGTCACCGAATACTAAACTCCTTACAAGGACCTTTAGAACGACTCCCACATATTAAACAAAACCCAAATAATTTCCAAATCCGAATTTTGTTATTCATCCAATGTAAATAAACTTGAGGAGCGGGTGAACGAAAGCTAGCAGTTGTTGCATGAGATGGGTCGGTGACAGAGTGGATTCATAGGTAGCTTGTGTACAACGAGAGGCCTGGCAAGATTCGTAGGATGAGACACGCAAACGCGCATGGTGGCGTGGCAAACCTTGAATAATGAAAACAACGAGAGGCGTCAGAAGCTGTCTTAAAGCACCTCTGGGTTCTGCATGCTGCGTGTGCAAAGATTCTTGCGAGGTGGTTTACCGAGAAGACTGAGGTCTCAAATGAACAAGCTGAATCGGTGGAACATGTAAAAGTTCGTAGCACCAAGTCCAAAACGGGCAAACCGAGACTGCTGAACACTGAGCCACTTGCCCGGGGGGGGGGGATGGACCAGGGAGGAATCGAGCCTGAGACCGGGGGGAGGGGGGGAGGGGGGGGGGGGTCTAAATAATTGATGTTGTTCAATCTTTTCGGCTCAAATAATTGAAAAAATCAATCTTTCGGCATTTGAGCCCCTTACCTTGCTTACGCAAGGAGAAACTTCAGCTAGCTAAAGCTAGCTTTCGTGATAACCAGATCAATTCACACATACACAGTTATCTCCATACGGTTCAATCCATTTCGCAATTTCTAACCAACATGCATCCATCATTCTTCAGAGAACTTGGCGGTGAGCCCACAGCCTGGATCCAGTGGCAGTTTACGTGCAATATGTTTCTAAGCTAGGGCTTGCACTGCTTCACCGTTGTTTTGTGTTTCCTGCCGCATGTAGGGAGTTTGGGGCAACAGTTTCATGGCAGGGAACATCTCCTCTTCTCGTTGTCCAATTCTTTCTGCAGTCGCTCCTGCACAACGAAACCGCTGCTCTAAACCAGCACAAGCGTGCCCGGCGCACCGCACGTTCCAGGAGCTTCTTGTTGTGCCGTTCCAGCTGTTGAGCTCGATCCTCGAAGGCGCAGCAACACTCAACATGCTTCACGCAAACCTCTTAACGTGATAACACGGATTCGCAAACTGCGTCAGTCCGGCAGTGCTTTGAGGTGCCCAGTGATGGGTTCCAACTGCCTCGAAGGCCAGGCGCGGGGTGAAACCTCGTCTGAGGCTTACGCCTCTCTTTAGCAGGTCCAATGGCCAGGACTGTGGTTGTGCCAGGCGCCACCTTCCCAAGTCGCGAAACAAGAATACAACACATGCAATGCGTGAAAAGCATGAGGTGCACAAGGCGTTTGCTTGGCCGGATATGTGAGAAATTGATGCCCTGATTGTGCCAGCAGCTTCTTGGTGTTGCCTATGCCACCACAGCGCCGCCTAATCTGTCGTTTGTTTCAACCTGCGCCAATGGGGGTCTCTCTCGGCTGACTGGGTCTGATGCGTTGCTGCTTGGAACAACCAACCCATTTTCCCAAATCGCTTGAATCCAACTAATTTGTGCTGCGCATCCCACAAGCAACAGGTGCCTCTCACACGTGGTCGATTTCTATCCCAGGCGTGTTGTTTTTCAGTCTGGTGTATCCCCTGTAAGGATCTGCCTGCATTACCAGCTGTTCTTGGATTTGGCAAATGCCTACTAATGGCTGCGTACCTTGATCACCTACATCATTTGCTTGGCCCGCTTGCTTCTTTGGCCTTGTCCGTCTTGTAACGCCGTCGTTGCGCTTGCAACAGCAAGACCAAGATCAGAAATGATATCCGCGCCTCAGTGTGGCCTGCGTCCTGGATGCTCTCGGCCTGGGCCACACACACAGCCGAACATCTCCTGACAACCAACATACATGAGCAAACATCACGAACAAAGCGAAAAGCAATGAGACAACTCCCACTCAACCGTCTAAGCTTTGTGCCAGCAAGCCTTCCGACTTCGCATCCTCCTCCAGCTTGCAAAGCTGCTCCTCACCTGGGTCGACTCTACGCAAGCTGTTGACTTATTGGTATCCAGTCATATTGCCTTCATGACAACGCATGAGCGAGGATCTGAGAGCAGAGCTGTCAACTTTCAGCGTGATCTTTTTGGACCCTGACCTGCTAAAAAACAACGCTGCTCTCAACAACTTGCATGATGTTTGGCCAAGCCACCGGCCCTTCCCACTCTTTGAGATCTCGCCACCTTTGGCTTGAAACAATTTGCTTGCCTAGTTGTTGCTCTTCTTGACTCACATGCTCCACATAGACATGTTGTCTGCTCACTCCGCCTTGAGTGTGTCACCGCATGATGCACAGCGTGGCCGACTTGTGCGGCAACCTTGCCCACGGACATGTTGAGGTCCTGAGAAGGCTTGACAGCTTGCCAAGTCTTACAGCATTCTTGATTGCAAAGGTCTCAGGCTCCCTGAGGCGAGAGCATGCCGCACACAAATGATCAGCTTCCAATCCTCTCCTGCTGGGCCTGGCAAAGCCTAAGCCTAATCCCACCCACGCTTGACCTGCCACAAATAACTCTTCTGGCCCCAGCCTTCTGAGTCGGTGTCCTTGCAATAGATGCGCAGCTCAAACGGCAATGGCCGTAATACCCATGAGTCAACTAGGGCCCGGGCACTAGAGTCCGCCTCGCCATCCTCACTAGGCTGGCTTGTCCTGTCCAACTCCTCGCGCACGATTTGCCGGATGGACTTCATGCCTGCAAGCTGGGTGATCTCAACGAAGACTCAGATAGCGCAAGTGCCCGTCTGCCTGCCACAAGCTCCTGTCAAACAGTTGACAAAGCACGAAAGGGTGAAATGCGCATTCAGCAGTTCATGGTCCTCGCGGATGACCTCGCTGCAGGCATCTTTGACTATCCTCAGCTGGAAATTGTGACGGCTGAAGGTAAGCACATACGCAACTACAGAGATGGACGGAGGCAGCAACTCTGCGGTAAGCCTCGAGACTGAACACAGCTGTACAAATTGTTTGCCGGAACGCATGGCAAGGCAGGGGCGCTGTTGCCCGCTTTTCGGCATCAACCTGTACCAAACTCACTCCCAAGCAACCATGCCAGCTTGACAATATAGAGCCTGCATGACACACTCGTCCGCGGCGAGCCCCGCATGTGGAAAGGACAAAGTGCATCTTGTCATGGCTGGCTTGCATCATTCATGAATGTGTGCGCTGCTTCGTTCCTTCTGCCCCCCCAAAAATGATATATCACAGCGGTTGGGAAGTTACTGCCCCTAAACTTGCTAAAGCAAGAAGATAAACAGCAAGCATGCAAGGCTGTCCTCGCTACATCTTCATACCAGGTGCTTCAGTATAAATCTTGCTTGTTGCGTGTTCGCATCTACGCTGTTGAGCCTTGCCTGCAGCGCCCAAACAGTGCCAACGTCATGACCCAACTTTGCCACTTGTGAGACCCTCGGCGTTTTGACATCATTGGCTTCAGAGGGTCCTGCTCATTGGTGAGAAGTTGAGCTTTTCATGAGCTCCCTCAATAGCATTGTCCTGGGCAAGAACGTGGGCTGAAGTGTGGCGATCGCAAGCGGCCGTCGGAATATATCTCCCCACTTTGATGGCTGGCTCGTCGTTTGCTGGCTAGCCGATGGAGAAAAACAAACGCTCAAATCCTTTTGTTTTCCCGCGGGTAACACAGAACGCAAACCGCCTCAAAATCTGCAGCGGGTTCCTCGCTTGAGGGTCGACCACACACAACTTCGCAAATGACTGACGGACTGGCTGATTAGCTGGCTGGCTGACTGTCTGGCTAGCTCACTGTCTATCTGGCTGGCTGCCAAAGTTTGGTTTTGGAACGAGGCGAGCGGCAAGTAAGCGTTTGCCGAATCTTCCGGCTACTGGCCAGAGGCTAAGCATGGCAACAGTCAGCAGGGCAGTACTCGAGATGTCGATGCTTGGCTGGCTTGGCAAACATGTTTGCTTCCGCCAGCGTTCCAGTCCAGAATGTGTTGGCGTTTCTACGTTTTTTTTTGGGCCAAGGCCAGCCAGGACCCGTGCAAATATGCTGAAGGTGGAAGCACGCAGTCGAAAGCCAGCACCTTGGGCTCAAACTTCTAAGCTGAGCTGCTGAAAACTGCAAGCAAATTCGCATGGTGAAAACCGAGCCGCATTCCCACGTTCAGCATGATGTTCATTTTCTCCCCCCTCAGCTCCCTCGCCTGACCTGCGGGGAAACCCCGGCGTGGCAATTGCCACCTTTTGAATCGCATGCAAATAGGGACGCGGCTGACCCGGATCACCTGCTTGTGGCCAGTCATGTTGCATGGATGCATCACGCCTTTTCCCTTCTCCTTTGGGGGCCCGTGCTAGGCCCAACGCCCCAGCACATTTGAAATCACTGCAGGTCAACACATGCTTGAGTGCTGCAAGCAAATGCCGGCAAAAACACTGCTGCCAGCCTGCGTGGTGTCTTTGCGGGACTTGCCTAGAGGGCAAGCTGCCAAGTTGACGCGTGAAAGATGCGTTCTTGGCCATCGGCTGAGGTTCCCTCTCTGCTAGCAGAAGCGCAACGTCAGTTTGCAAGACCTTGGCGGCACAAAGGGTAAGAGGCGAAAGGGCTTCCAGCGCTTCCAGCTGGTGCGCGGTGGGCCTACCTTTTGTGACAAAGCCGCAGAGCTGCTCCCACGCTACGCGCAAAAGAGAAGCGCAACGCGCTCAAGGTCAGATCGGGCCTCGCACACTTGCAGGCGAGGAATGGGCCCGGCCAAGCCTCTTGGCTTTCGTCACTTTCGTCATCTGACTGTTCTCAATGCGCTCTTTTTGCGCAATTTCCTTGATGACGCAGGAAGTGGTCCTTGGCCCTCGGCCCATTCTGAACGCGCAGTCAATCTTTTCGAGCAGTTCCTCAAGCTGCGTCGGGTGCTCACGCTGTTTTGTGTTCGGGAGAAAGACCATGGAAGTGAAACGCGCGACAAAGGTTTGAATCGTTCGAAACCTGCTGATGCAGCGTGTTGGTTTTGGCGCAATGAGGACGGAGGGTTGCAACTTTTCAAGCTCTGTTGCCATCAAACGCAAAAAGTTGCGCAGGGTTCTAGACTCTGCCCTTGGCCGGACTGCACGGCTTGCGCCGGATTGCTCAGCCTGAAGCCAACCCGTCCCTGTTTGATATTTGTTGCAGGTGTGCGTAGCAACACCGTCCGCCACTCACACTCGCTCGCTTCCTCCCAAACTCCCTTGCTTGCTCCCCATCCCTCCCTCCCCCATTCCCTCCCTCCGTTCCGCCACACCCCATTCTCTGCCGGAGAGGCTTTGCTTTCATCAATGGCGAAGATTCAGCCAAAACGACAGCTGATATCCCAACTACAGGATTTCAACTACAACTCCAGAGCAAGTGCGGCGGACCTTCTTCCTGTTGTGACTCAAGCCAAGTAATCATGCAGAGAGACAACGTCTTGCTAGGTAAACGTAAGCCTGAGAAGTCTTTCTACGTTTGAATGCCTCTATGAACATACACAAGGAAGGCAGCATTGGTTGCTCAAGGGCACGGCTGAACTAGAAGAGCGACTTTCCTGCAAGTGTCAGGCAATGTCAGGTCAGAGTCACGCAGCGCCCCGTTTCAATTTGTCCAACACACGCCCGAAGGCGGCCCCCGGTCCGAAGGAACTGCTCGCCACGTCAAGTCCTTTGGGCCTCGGAAAGGACCGCATGGGAATGACTCTCATGGCTCTGGGGCCCTCACTCACGGCCAAGGCCCTATACGAGCCTGACAACCTGGAACCAAATTGAAAGCAAATGGACATGCGGACATTGCATGGACATTGCATGGACATTTCGATCTCGCGATTTGATCGTGCAATTTGATTCACTCGTCGCGCACTGCACGATGGAGCAGTTCGAAAAGTCGGAGATCGATAAGCCGAGCAATCGCTGCGACAGCTCCTGAGGGCACGTGTGCCGCGCCAAGCTGAAACGTAGGACTGGATCGCCCGCGGTCCTCGTACACTCCAGTCAAATTGGACGGGAACACCACCTGCGCTTTCACAAAGCAAGTGACGAGCTGCGCAAGCGGGCGCTCTACTGTAATTCACAACGCCCTCTTCTGCTCACGTGGCTCTTCAGCCATGTACTCTGGCCATCATACATAGCGCCTCGGAGCCTGGAAGAGGAAGCACAACATCCTTGGACATTGTCACCGAGAGCTGACCTTCGTGTAACTGAATGGGCATCCGAAGCTGAGCAGCTTGCGGCCAAGGTCACAGCTGCTGCTTCTTCTTCATTCTGCAAAGCACGCCTTGGGACCCGTGGCCCTTGGTTTTGCGGAGCGAGAGCTAGGCACCCCAACACTGCTGGAAGCTTCCGCACATCTTCCTCTGACAGGTCCGCATCCTGCAGCTGGCACTTTTCTCACTCCCCTTCATTCCCTGGTGCAGTGGACGGAGGTGTGCGAGCCAGGTGGGAAGGAGTCACTGACAAAACGGAGCCCCTCTGTGCCCAACCCTTTTCCCCGCTGCCATCACCGCCCTCCCCTATACAGGTGGCCCTTGGTGCCTTTAGCAGCTTGCCAGCTGCTAGGCTGAAGAAGTCGGAACACGCTTCCTTTGGAGGCATCCCCCTCTGGGCCACTCACCTTGGGTGAGAGGCCTGAACTGTAATTAAACTTGAATCTGGCGGGCTAACCCAGGCTTTCTTTTGCAGTCAAACTTGGCAGCGACAGGCTTCGTGCAAACTCCCTGGCCAAACCGGCTTTTGATGACCGACTGTTACATGATAGCGTTTACAATGGGCCATTCGCCTCCGAGATTCACGGAAGTCCTTGATCTGCTTCTCTAATCGCTCCATCTCTCGCTTCTTGACTCGATGCTCCTCAGGACTGCGAGCTCTGGCATCGGCTAACAACTTCGCAGCACCAGCCATTGCACTCCTTGAACCACTTGTCACCTGATGGTGTCTGGTATGCCTCACATAAATCCATGACGGGGCGGGTCACAAGAACACTATTTGGCCTTCCGCTCAGCATAGATCTTCTCCCTGTAGATAGTAAGAGCTTCATGCGGAAGATAGCCTTACATGCAGATTGAGAGAATGGCCGAGTCGCCCGGCTGCAAACTGCAAGCGGGTCACGGCGCGCGACACCTGGATATGTCTGCACTTTTGTCGGGTCTGGCGGGGTCCCGAAGCTGACGGCATTCACTGAAGGCTTCGCTGCCATAGTTGGCAAATGCCTGCTCACCAATGGCCGAAGTGGCAGGTCAACAGTGAATAAAAGTTGCGCTTACTCTTGCCCGTCCGCCTCAACGAAAGCTTGCCACAAGCTTTTGCCTAGGAGTGACTTTTGGACCCTCCACTCTGAACGCAACGAGCCAAATCATATTCAAGCCGAGGCATCTGCCTGGCTGTTTCACGGGGCTCGCACATGGGCAAACTACCCCTTGACCCAAATTGCTTGCATTGGCCGCATGCATCAAGCCAAAAATGTTGCAGCACGTTGGCTTGAAGAGCCTTTAGAGGTCACTGTTCATTGGATGTTCGACTGAGAAAGCATTTCTCAGTGCTGCTCTGGGTTGCAAAAGCTCTCGGAGACTCTGATCGGCAGGGCATTGACAACACATCTTGCCAACAGCTGCTTCCAAAGCTCTGAGTCACAAATGCCTTCGAAACCCATTGAATGCTTTGACGCCCGACTTTGAGCATGGCTATGCCTGCCGTCTGCCCTGCATCGGACTCCTCATCCGGAGCATTGCTGGAGTCCTTGACCATCACATCCTTGCACTTCACTCTCCAAGTGCAACACGTGGAAAAACATTTTTGCCACTGGCAAACAATACGTGCGCCAAATCCCGTCCGAGATCTCGCAGGTGTCTCCATCAAAGGCCTGCACCCGTCCCAGCCCTTGTAATGTAAATGAGTTTCGCACAGTTCACGTTCAGCTTCCCGCTGGCGGTGATGGTGAAGCCCCACCGGGGCATGCTACGCGTTTTCAGGGGCGTTTGCCCAACTGTGTCTCGTGTGGCCTGCGTGGGGTTTCGGTACGTGTTCACCCCGTGCGCGTCAAGTTTGTGTTGCGGCCCTGCACATGGCTGCCAAATCGTAAGCACACAACACGCAAAACATATATATATATATATATGTGTGTGTGTGTGTGAAGAAAACCCTAGAGGCCGTATAACATACAAACGTGCACCTGCTAGAGCTAGGCCTCCTTTTGGCTGTGCAGAAGCCACGCTTGCTTCAACAATTTCCATTTTCTTGACCGCGGCGATCATTCAAACACGGTCAGCCGCATCGACCTGCGTGTGAGATCGGAAGCAACACACACACACACACACACACACACACACACGCGCGCGCGCGCGTGCTCATCTAATAACAAACATGTGTTCCTGGAACACACACACACACACATCCACAGCATGCTGCCTGTGGCAAGATCAAAAGCATGCGCGCGCTCAAACAAGTGTTTCTGAGCGACAAACGCACATGCGTGCTCGCGGAGTATCCGCCCATGCAGGAAGCCGTGCCAGGCATCCAGGCTGGGAGACAACTGGCACAAATAAATCCGTCCAAATGAAGGGAGACAAAGGGAGACAAACGAACCTGTCCACCCGTCCACCCAGAGAGCCGTGCCAGGCATCCAGGCTGGGAGACAACGGCAAACAAATGAAGGGGACAAAGGGAGACAAATGAATTCGTTCACCCAGAGAGCCCTGTCAGTCATCCAGGCTATGGCTTGGCAATAGGCGAGTCACTGCAAATGAATTTAGAACCCCTCAAAGTAAACTGTCGATCTATCGATCCATCAATCACTCAAATCAGTCAGTCAGTCAATCGCAATTGAGCAAACAATCAAGCAACCCGTCGGCCGTTTCCAATCATTCGGGCAGCCAGCCAGCCAAGCGAGCAAGAGGCAATCAATCAATCAATCCATCGGCCGGTAGCCACGCACCAACGTGTTCCGGGTGCGCATATATGTGTGTTCGCGTGTACACATATATGTGTTTAACACGTACACATGTGTGTGTGCTGACATGTACACATATGTGTGTTGCACGTGTACACCTATGTGTGTTCACGTGTGCACACATGTGTGCTCCTATCAGACACGTGTATGTGTTCCAGGAGAACACAAACTGTTATCAAATGAACACGTGTGTGTGCCTGCTCCGCGTGTACATGTATGTGCGTTCACGTGTGCACATATGTGTGCTCCACCTGTACACATTTGTGGGTTCACGAGTGCGGACATGTGCGTTCCAACTGGACACGTGTTTGTGTTCCAGGAGTCTGCTCCGTGTGCGCATGTATGTGTGTTCTTTTGTGCGCATATGTGTGTTCCACGTGTACACTTTTGTGTGCCCACGTGTGCGCACATGTGTGTTATTGTGTGTTCCAAGTGGAAACGTTTTTGTGCTTCAGATGAATACATGTTTCTTTTCAGATGAACGCACGTGTGTGTGTGTTCCGGGCGCACACATATATATATATATCTATCTACATATGTGTGCACGTGTGCACATGGATGTGCTCCAGAATGCGCATGATTGGTTTCGAGGTGCGCGCGTGTGTGCGCGCTTCAGGCGAGCATGTATGTCCGCCCACGTGTGCACACATGTGTGTTCCACGTGTATCAACACGTGCGCTTTATCGCACACGCGGTGTTCCTGGACACATATTTGTGTTCCAGTGGCATGCATATGTGTTTCCCACGTGTGCGCACATGTGTGCTTTAATTGCACGCGATTGTGTTCCAGGTGAACACATGTGTCTTCCACGTGTACACACATGTGTCTGAGTTGGACACGCGTTTTATTGTGTTTTAAGTGAACACACATGTGCGTTCCACGTGAACACATTAGTGTGTCGTAGGTGAACGCATATGTGTGTTCCCCGTGCTTTCCAAGAAGCACATGTTTGCTTGCCAGCATTTATGCGCGTGCCGCGCATCTGCGCGCGCCGCGTGCGCTGTCTCAGTCGCATACATATGTGATATGCGGGGTCCACGTGGCACACATGTGTGTCTGAATTGGACATGTGTGTCTGCACTGCCCATGTGACCGCGCGCTTGCGCAACCGCAGTTCTGGCGCGGTGCTGAAGCGCGAAGCACGCCAGCAACACACGTGCAGCAACGCAACGCGTGCCAGGTTCACGACTGCATCATTTTGATTCATCCGTGTTGAAGCGCAGAAAGCCACAAGCTGTTGGCATGTTTGTGCTTGCCCGTCAGTCCTCAACTGTTTGGGGTCTCTGCTGGTGTATTTTGTTTGAACTGTTTGATACTTACTTGCTTGATTGCTAGATTGATCGATCACTACTCATTGATTCATTTTTCTACTAGCTGCGCCCAGGTGCGTGCCCCTACCAAACCGCTTCAACGGGAAAGCCCATTCACGGTTTCCAGCCTCAGCATTTGGTGAGGCGAAAACCAAGTCGCCTGAACAACAGGATAACGAATCTGCAGAGTTCACTACGGCGAACCTACCACTGGATGTCGGCCAAATTCTCGGATCCTGACACGCATGGCACCATAGGGAGCAGGGCACACACACACACACACACCGATGTCCAAACCAAGTCCTTCTGGACAGCACAGAGTTCCATATGAAGCTTTGGGCTGCGTGCGCATATAGCGACACCTAAGACACATTGTAAGCAAAACCTGCGCTCTGTGCTCCGAATCAGCGCCGCTGAATGCTGAGCCATTCTGGCAACGGGATAAGGTCAGCTCTGCCTGGTGCGGGAGCTGTCGCAATGCCTCAGCCTGGCAAAACGGGCCATGGGGATGCTCTTGAGACAGCCAAGGCTCCGGCAAAGGGCAAGCCACGCGCCCGGGCTCCCAAGAGACATCTCTCCAGGTGTTGGCCTTGGTGAATCTGAAATTCTAGGAATCCCCGGCGCGGTTTGCTCGCTCCGGGGACCCAGCTGCGAGGCATCACGTCCAATGCCTTCTGCGCATCGCCTGTCTCCTGAGCTTTGCCCAATGCAACAGCGTTATGAGTTATACAAGCCAAGGGCCAAGCGAGAAAAATCGTCAGCGCATCAGTTGTCTGCAACAAATTGGCTTCGTGGCGCACGTTCAAGACTCTGGTTTTCACTCCTTCAACAAACCAACTCTGGCACATCACAAGTCACAAGCGCTGGGTGCCCACTGATTGTTGGACTTTGCCGTGTGTTGCTTCCTGGCTCGTTTCTTTGTCCCGTCAACTATGCCGCATATTCGTTTGTTCATGCCCCTTCAGCTGGCTCTCTTCAAGACAACGTCACTTGGCCACAAACAAACATCTGACGCAAAGCAAGAAGGTATGCAAAAAGAACATGTGGCACGTGCACTGCCACATGGAAAGTGGGTCAAGCATCGAGCCTGCCCTGCATCCACACATCCTGCATCTGTGCGTCGTAGCTTGGATGGGCGATCACCGCCTGATTCCTCCCAGCTCAAGAGCACAGCGCGCCAACTGCGGCAAGAAGATGTCATGGGTTTGTCTCAACATTGGGATGTCCCCTTTTAATCAACCCAAGGCGAATTTCCCAAAAAGACACCCTAAAAAGACCCATGTCCCTGCCTGAGCTGCCCGCTTGGCTTTGCCCTCCTTGCCAAGATGTGATCAGTGAAAAAAACGAAACAAAATAAAGGGTGAACGAATTCACCTTTAGGGCAGCACATAAACACCCAGGATCAAGTTGACGGCCTTGTCAAAGACGCATTCGCATCAAAGCCAACTGCCCAATAACTGCCTCTTCCCATTTACCAGCGATGATTGCAGCTCCAACCTCGGATCCACACCGAAGTTCTGACTTCTCAGCCCTGCAAACATTCATCTCTTTGTGGTCATTTACTGCATGCAAGTGCGGAAGCTTTGGCGTCCGCTTCCAGGTCAAACCAGCAATCGTGATACCTTTTCATCTGTTGAAACAAAAGCGCTCACGGTTGTCTTGCATTGTGGCTGTGGAGGTAGCTGCTTTCATCTCGAATTCAAGCCTTAGCCATCCGCTTGGTGAGTCTTCACCTCGCGAGTGCCAAAACGCTGAAGCCCAAAGTAGTTGAGAAAGCCGCCTGCACCCGCAGCTTGAACATACATTGTGAACTGGCCTTTGGTTGCACATGCTTAGCGCAAATTCTTCGTGCCTGCCTTTCACAGCACTGAAGGCTTGGCCTCAAGTAGCTCGACTTTGAGCTGTTTTCTGACAGAGCTCTGCCAGAGCTGCTTGCAATGTAGCCAGAGCTCCCAATTGCTCCCTTATGCTCCTGGGCCTGCGGCCCAAGGTGCAGTGCTCTGGCCCATCTTCAGGAACGCAAGCTGCACTGGCATCCGTGTCTGCCTGAGTTGAGCAGTTCCCATGCTTTCAGTGCTCTCCTCTTGAAATCAGCATGCTCTGTGGGTGACACAGCGAAGGCCTGCGGGGGAATGTTTCGAAGGACCACCTTGAAGCGGTTTCCACCTTGAAGCCCGTCTCTGCAATCAATCGGGCAAGCTTTGCTGTGGCCCGCACGGAGCTGCCCTAGCCGAAGTCGTTCGCCACGATATTCCAGATCGGAGATGCGCAGCCGCTTGTCCCACAACCTTGCAGCCGCATCCAAAAGCAGTCAGTGGCTCCCAGTCTGTGCCGAATTGTAAGGCCTTGGCCGGTGGAGCACCGTACGTCTCAGTTGGTCTGCGGGCAAGCGATGTGCCTGGTCAAAGTCGAATTGCGCTAGGCACAGGCCAGTAAAGCAAAGCAAAGCCATGCAACGGCTGCTGAGTCTCTGGCGCAAATGGCCTGCACTGTCACCGCCTCGGAACTCGAGCTTTGGGAAATCCTGTACAAAGCATTCTGAGCATCGCACGCGCTTGTCCTTGGTCCCTGCAAAACTAAACTGCTTGACCTAAGTTCTGGTGCCAACCCCAGGGACGTGGGGCGCCAACAATGCACACATGCCTTCCTCTCACCCCTGGGCATTTGGCGGATCTACCCACGCAGCGGGCAATGCTGGACACTGCCTCCCCCGTGTTGCAGTTCCTCAGATTGGCCGGACCCGCGGCATGCCACGAAACGTCTTTGGTGAGGGCAGGTCTCTTTGTACAAGCGGAAATACAAGTAGTCCGGGCGGTCCTGGAACTCATTCATGGCCCATAGATTCTATCAGTGCGGTCGGCCTTTGGCCAGCCCTCCCGTCGCAAAGTGCCAAAGGCACCTGGTTTTCCATTGCACTCTTTGCTCAACTGGTGCCCGGGAGCGATGGCACATGCAAGGCCCAGGCTTTCAACCTTTTCTTGTCCATCTTGTTGCTTATCCTTGCCTTTGCCTGGCTGGTGATGCCAAGATTCTCCATCAACTCAGCTTGACTGCGCCTTTGCCGCCTTTGCCCTTGGCTTTGCTCTTGGCTTTGCCCTTGCCTTTGCCCTTCCCGCCGCCTAGACACAGGGATGCTGTTCTTGGATGGCAATGCAACCGTAGAAACAACATGAAAACTGCTGGCATGCTGCTAGAACGCACGCAAGCTGCTAGCTAAGTTGGTGGCTGGTCTGCGCCCTGGCAAATCGGCCATCAGCACTGCCGCTAATGCTGGCTGAGTGCAAGACTGACTGCCAGGGGTAGGAGCCTTTGCCTTCCTTTCAGCCTTCGCCGAGCCAAAGCTTCAGGATGCACACGGAAAGATCCAGCACAAACTGCCACAACGCAAACACTGGCTTTCTGCCCCAACAAAAACACTGACCGGGATCTGCATGTTAAGTTGACGCGATCAGACATAGCTTCATCTTCAGCATTGTCTGCCCTCTGCAAATGGTTTACCGATAGCCAACTAGCCACGGTGATGCTGGAACCCTAGAGTAGGCGACAAAAATCAGGAAGAGAAACAAACATGTATAGGGGCAACGCCGGTTGGCTGAGAGAGTGCTTTGCAAGTGCTGCAAGGCAGTGCAAGCAACGTTTACAGTGCTTTACCTCGCCGGGAGAATTCTAAGTTGCAACTTTACCAGGCCTTCGGCCAAATATTCCAAATCAAGGAGGCCAGATTATAAATGGTCCTGCTGGAGCCAGCAGCCGACAAACAAGGATCATCCCATCCAACGCACCCCTTCGCAACTGAACAGAACTGAATTGCAATAAGCTCGCCTCCATCATGCACTCGCTGGCTCCCTTGCTGGCTCACTCGCTGGCTGACTCGCTCGCTCGCTGGCTGGCTGGCTGGCTGGCTCGCTGGCTGGCTGGCTCTCTCGCTGGCTGGCTGGCTGGCTCTCCGCTGGCTGGCTGGCTCACTCGCTGGCTGGCTCACTCACTGGCTGGCTCACTCGCTGGCTGGCTGGCTGGCCGGCTCACTCGCAAAGAGCGAGAGACAGAGAGGGAGAGAGAGACGGAGTTTGGGCCAAACCCCTTTCGCAAGAGCCAGCCAGTGAGCCGGCCAGCCAACCAGCCAGCCAGCCAGCCAGCCAGCCAGCCAGCCAGCCAGCCAGCCAGCCAGCCAGCCAGCCAGCCAGCCAGCCAGCCAGCCAGCCAGCCAGCCAGTCAGCGAGAATGAGCTCTCTCTCTCTCTCTCTCTCTCTCTCTCTCAATCTCTTCTCTCTGCCTCCTCTTTCTGTTTCTTCTCTTTCAGTCTGACTCTCCCTCACGCATTTACTGACTAAGACACCGCAAAGCAAACCACAAAAACACATTGAAAACAGTGAGCTGCATGGACACGCAGAAACTAAGAGCGTGCCTCACGCATCCAAATTCGAAGCATCCGAGCGCCCTCTGGTAGCTCAACCTCACACAAGCACATTCAAAAGGAAACGCTAGGTTGTAGGAGTTCGGCCGTCTCTGTGTTGAGGAAGCTTCCGAAGTGCTTCAGAATTGCTGCATGAGCTTTCTTTCTGGCCTAGCACGCGCAGAATGAGAAGGCATTTGCTCCGCTATCCGCTGCCTCCTTGCCATCAATTTCTGCTGAGCTGAAGTCCACCTTGACTGTTGCAGGCTGGTCAACACAGTTGTCAGCAAGCTCCAACCCCAGCCAAGTGAAGTTGCCATGCAAGTCACGGCCGCTAGTAAAACCGGGCAAACATCAAGCAACTGCCAAAGGCACACACGCGCACCTGCACATGCACACGCACGCGCGCGCTCGCACACGCACACGCACCCGCACGCTCACGCACACGCACCCGCACGCCCACACACACACACACACACGACTCGTTTTCAGCCGGCGTATTTCAGTAGGCATGCCGCGGCCGTGTCAGCTCGTAGCCAGACCTACTCAATCAACTTGCCAACTTGAGAACTTGCCAGAACCTGACCTGAGTGCATGTGTGCTTGCGTGCTTGCTTTCTTGCTGCGTGCGTGCGGGCGGCGGGCGTGCGGGCGTGCGGGTGCTCGAGCGTGCGGGCGTGCGGGCGGCGCGCGGGCGCGGGCGTGCGTGCGTGCGTGGCGGGCGGGGGGTGCGTGCGGCGTGCGTGCGGCGGCGGGCGTGCGTGCGTGCGGGGCATGCGGGTGTGCGCGGCGCGCGGGCGGGCGTGTGTGCGGCATGTGTGCTGGCGCGCGGGCGGGCGCGCAGGCGGGCGCGCTTGCGGGCGGGCGGCGCGTGCGGGCGCGCGCGTGCCGGCGCATGCGAGCGGCTGCGGCGGGTGCGGGCGAGTGCGGCGGGCGCGGGCGGGCGTGTGCGTGCGGGTGCGTGCGGATGCGTGCGGTGCGTGCGGTGCGTGCGTCGCGTGCGCGTGCGCGCGTGCGCGTGCGCGTGCGCGTGCGCGCGCGCGTGCGTAGTGCGCGTGCGTGCGTGCGTGGTGGGTGGGTGGGTGGGTGGGTGGGTGGGTGGGTGGTGGGTGGGTGGGTGGGTGGGTGGGTGGGTGGGTGGGTGGGTGGGTGGGTGGGTGTGGGGGTGGGTGGGTGGGTGTGGGGTGGGTGGGTGTGTGGGTGTGTGGGTGTGTGGGTGTGTGGGTGTGTGGGTGTCTGGGTGTGTGGGTGTCTGGGTGTCTGGGTGTGTGGGTGTGTGGGTGTGTGTGTGTGTGTCTGTGTGTGTGTGTGTCTGTGTGTGTGTGTGTGTGGGTGTGTGGGTGTGGGTGTCTGCGCGCGTTTGCGCGTGTGTGCGTGTGCGTATGCGTGTGCGCATGCGTGTGTGCAACCACACGCGTGTGCGCCTGCGTGTGCGCGTGTGCATGCGTGTGCATGCGTGCGCCTGCGTGTACGCGTGTGCAAGCACGTGCGCGCAGGGGTGGGTGGGTGGGTGGGTGGGTGGGTGGGTGGGTGGGTGGGTGGGTGGGTGGGTGGGTGGGTGGGTGGGTGGGTGGGTGGGTGGGTGGGTGGGTGGTGGGTGGGTGGGTGGGTGGGTGGTGGGTGGGTGGGTGGGTGGGTGGGTGGGTGGGGTGGGTGGGTGGGTGGGTGGGTGGGTGGGTGGGGGTGGGTGGGTAGGTGGGTGGGTGGGGGTGGTGGGTGGGTGGGTGGGTGGGTGGGTGGGTGGGTGGGTGGGTGGGTGGGTGGGTGGGTGGGTGGGTGGGTGGGTGGGTGGGTGGGTGGGTGGGTGGGTGGGTGGGTGCGTGGGTGGGTGCGTGCGTGCGTGCGTGCCTGCGTGCGTGCGTGCGTGCGTGCGTGCGTGGGTGGGTGGGTGGGTGGGTGGGTGGGTGGGTGGGTGGGTGGGTGGGTGGGTGTGGGTGGGTGGGTGGGTGGGTGGGTGGGTGGGGGGGTGGGGGGGGGCTGGGTGTGTATTTATGTTTGTGTGTTTGTGTGTTTTGTGTTTTGTGCGTGTGCAGCTGCATTCTTAGGAAGGTCTTCTGTTGGAGGGCTCCAGGCAAAACCTCTCACTTTGGCAAACTGGCCAGCTGACCTTTTGGTCGGACCAATTGCGGAAACTGTCGAACACCCAGCGCATATGCTAAAACAACTTCTCAAACTAACTTGAGTTCGGCCTACCGTGAAACTGAACGGAACTAAGGCTATAGCAAATGCAGGTGCTTCAGCAGCTCCCTCACCTGTTGGGCCAAGTTTGGCAACATGCAGCAGGCTTGGCACAGGCTTGGCAGCTAGGGTTGGAACCGGCGTCTGAACTTGCCTGCTGCCAGCACAATCAGAACTGCATGTGCCCTCTCACTCTGGCCTCAGCCACCGTTTGCTTCTGCAGGAAGCCTGCCAGTTCCCAAGACTTAAATCCCTACTAAGACTTGGCCACGTCTAAGCATGCCAACATCGCTTTGCAGTTCTTGGGCATTGCCCTGGCCAAGTGCTGCATCTAACTCCTCGGTCCACTGGACTCAACGGAATTCCTTTCGGCCTTGACTCTCGGTGCTCGGGTGCTCGGGTGCTCGGGTGCTCGGGTGCTCGGGTGCTCGGGTGCTCGGGTGCTCGGGTGCTCGGGGCGGGGCAGCTGCAGCGTCTGGCTCGAAGGTGAAGGAGGCTCCTAGAGCACTGCGAGCTTCTCTGCGCCTGGGCCATTCGGGACTCCAGCTGAGGGCCTATCGCACCATCCGCGCTTTCAGCCCCAAACTCCTCCGCGTTCTTCTTGAGCTCGGCAGCTACAGCACCGGGAGTGATGAGCTCGCTAAGGTGCAGCTCAACCTTAGGCAAGCTGAATTCCAAGCACCTCCCCTTTTTTCCTAACTTCTGGAAGGCTATCTTTCGGAGCCGCACGCCTCCCTGGTCAACTTCATAGACGTGGAAGTCCTGAAGTCCGGCATACAAGTCAGTTGCAACTTTACGAAAACATCATATATTGTGCAATCACTGCATTCAACCTTTGATCGTGGGGAGTGGTGAATTTTACTGCCCCTCATTGTCTGCATGATTTTACCAGCATGAAAAGCTGCATGGGCCTGCCATCGCTCTTTGAAGTTGCCTCGGGACTTTTCTGACAGAGAAGCTCAAACATCCCAAGGCCGGCCTGAGAATCCTTGCACTTCTGGTGAGAGGTACTCTGTGATTCCAACCTGGCTGGGTAGGCCTGTGAATGACTGACATTCACAGGCTTCCTCTTCAGCAAGACTTGTAAGACCGTTGCTTGCAAAACAAAAACGGGGCGAGGTGAAGTCAATTGAATAGGCCAGTCCTCTTCCTCCAAGGCATGTGGCATACACGGCGGAAAGGTCAGCAAGTAGATTTAGGAAGCTTCGGGTCAGGTCGGTGAGCTTATGTGTGCTTCAAAGTTTGTCCCCCAGCCCTGATGTTCAATCCAAACATGTACATGTCCAAAGTTGGAAATGGATGGCACAAGTAGAAGTGGGCCACTGTCGGATTGCAAAGCTGTTGCTCTGCCATGTGCCAAGCTTGAGCATCTTGAACAAACATCAACATACAATCCAAAACGTTCTCGCATTGTAAGACCAGTGCAATGCACAAATCAGGCAACGGCACGAGACAAAAGAGCCCAACTGAGGCCTATTTCCAGGCTTGCAGACTTGCAGCATCTTCGTGATCATGCCTCATTTCAGACCCTATACAAATTGTGACTGCTCCAGGCTGTACAACTGCAAGAGTCACCACTCAGATCATTTCGCACATCATGAGAAATAGGATAGCTTGCCCTTGTTGTCATTCAAAAGCTCCAGCTGCGTCGGGGTCAACTTGAGCTGGCACTCTGTCCAGGACGTCTGGCTGGACTGTTGCAGCTTCAAGAAGGCCTGGATGGCAGACTGGACTTCCTTCCGCGCGATTTCATGAACTCCAACCTTGCCATATGGAGCTACCGCTTGCACCGCCTGGCCCGACCACCTTGGCACACCGCAATCTGCAGCCGTCAGCAGCATACAGGCCATGGTGCTAACGGCGATGCAGAATGGCTCCACAGGCTTTGCCTGGGAATCCCGTGCCGGGCCTGCCAGTGCCTTCAGTGCCTTGAGTCGGCTGACAATCTCCGACTCACACTGCACTGCAAGAAAGCTTGCTACGGCGCTTCTGGCGGCGCTACGGATCTCTGGCTTGGAGACTCCAAGGGCACGCTCTGCGGCAGAGCGAAGCTCCTCGTAGATCTCACGCGCTTCACCGGTGAGGAGAATGAAGAAGTTGGCCAAAACTGATTGCTTCAAACCTGCAGCGAACGCCTTCTCCAATTCCTTTTCAAGTGCCTGCTCGCTAATGAGCGGTCGCAAGGCTTTCACCATGGGAAGGCTGCTCCACAGCGTTGGCTGCTCTAGTGATGGCGGTAGGGGGTGAGAGCAACAACATAAGGACATGGCATGTGGTGCGATGGCACGAAGCTCCAGGTCACTATGCGCAGCGGCAGCTGCGACAAATCCCAGCCAATCTGAAGCGGCATTGCGAAGGTAGTCTGCACTCATCCGGCTCAAGGATGAATGCAGCAGAAGATACAACAAGCCGGAACTCTCAACAACATGCTTTGGCCTTGCACCATCATCTGCCGTAGCATTGGTGTGTGCAGCATTGTCCGCCCGCAACAATAAAGTCAGCCTGCGAGCTTCTGAAGCAAACCAAGTGCCCAGCGACGCTGAGACGGTTTGCAAGGCTCCTTCAGAAACGTCTTTGTGCTGGTGAGAAGCAGCCTGCACAATGAAGTAAAGACCCCGGGCCACTTCTTCTCGGAGCTGCTTGTAAGGATGGCCAAGCCCATCCTCCAAGACTGCCACCAACTTCCTGCAAAACTCCTCGCTTGCTGCCATGACCTTTGTGGCCAAGGGCTCAATCAGCAAGGATAGGAGCAGCCGCAAGCGCTTGAATGCGTCAAACGATGACGCCTCCTTCTCACTGTCGGATGCACTCTTGCTGTAGTCAAAGCGTATTGGTGCCAGCGCACAACTCAATGTATTGAATTCCAAGTCACCATCTCCACCGACAACAAAGTTGAACAGCGGAATGAGATACTGCAAGTCCTCACTGCCCGCCTGAGAATCAGAGAACATGGGCTCCAACTTCGGTCTGCGGCAGCCAGTCACAACGAAGCGCACTGCATCACACCAGTCACCTAAACGCTCTTCAGATGACTGCTGCAGTTCAGAGAGCAGCCAGGGGTGCAGTTGATTCCACAGGCTTTGCCGAGTCTGCGAGTCGGCGGGTTTTCGCACTGCTCGCAAGCTGCCGGCGGCAAATTCTGCGAAGGCTGCATGGAATTCGGCTTCAGCGACGGGCTGAGATGCCAGTTTCTCAGCGCCTTTGCGCAGCATGTCAACGAGCCCTTCTTTATCCATCTGGGACTTCAGGAAGCTCACATAAGTCTGCCAAAACAGCGCATTCCGCAATGCAAACGATCGAGAAGATCTCCGCAGCCAGATCCTTGGCCAAACGTCAAAGACGGATGAAGTCATGGCATGGACCGGCTCTCGCGTGGGCTCGCTCTTCTGGCCAACTTGGTCATCAGCAGTCACCATCAAATCCTCATGGTGCAGGGGGGGCATCACCTCAAGCAAATTTTGAAAGAATGAGCTGTCAGACAAGCCCAGTCCCGACAGACTGTCTTTCAATGGTGAGCGCTTGAGGACCAGCAGGAGGCCATGAACAGCCAAGGCATGAAGCCCAGGCTGACCCTTTGGCTCTATGCATCGGATGAGCCAGCGAGCCCACTTGCTCCAAACTTCCTGTACTTCGGCCTGCTCCTCGGAGCTCAACCTGGGTGGGATGCCACTGGGGCCAAGGGCATTGAGCAAAGCCAAGCACATGGTGGTGGCCATGATCTGGGCTCGCCAATGGCAGTCTGAGCGATCGCAAATGGCCAAAGCCTTGGACACGGTGCGAACAGCTGCTAGTCCAGGCGCAACCTTGGAACTATTGGAATCTTCCTGGAATTCATCCTCCAAGCCAGGTGCTCGAGAGCGAGGCCGAGTGGTGCCCCAGCTTTGCACCTCCCTGCAATCGAGCCAGTGCTTCATTGCGCCGATCAATTTCGCAACTGTTGTTGGCTTCACTTCGCATCTTTGAGCTGAATCTGTGGGATAAGCGCCTCCTTGATTCACACGCGTGGCGGCATAAATAGCCTCGCACAAGCTGTATCCCAGTGTGGATGCATCGTCCATGCCTTGGAAAGGCTGTTTTACAAGGAGTGGACACGTTGTGCCCTCTAAGAAATGAAAAGTACATTGCGGGTAAACAATCGGGACTTGACCTGCGGGATGTGAAGCAGGTACGCAGGAGACTACCTAATGTGAAACAACCCTAACGTGTATTAGCTCGCGCGGGTCAGGTAGGATATGCAACCATCAGCGCAAAACTGAGTGCTATGCGCGGCAGGCTCTTCTCGCCAAGTGGGGCGCCAAAAGACTTACACTTCACCAGAACACGTTCTCGCGCGGCAGGCGTTGCAACACACATGATTGTCGGGAGACCTGACCGGGCACTTGTGGGCGTCTTATGGCAAAATCCGCAACGTTCTATCTCTGGATGATGGAAGGCGAAGGCACTTTGTTGAACATGTTGTTTTTCCAGTCGACGTCATTTTCTGGGTTTCCCCCAACAAGAAGCACACACACACACACACAGCGAGAAAAGCAGGGTCCATACGTGATCCCAGGATACCTCTTCGTTGGGCAAGCAGCTGCGTTGGGAGGATGCCCTCCTGCTATAAGCCTCGTGCAAAATACTTACTGGCGAAGCAGCCCCTTTGTGGTCGTCAAGGCTACATGCGCAGACCGTAACTAGCTTGGAACGCCCCGCTGTTTTGATCCCGAAAATAAACTCTCTGCTGTGCGACGCGGCAATGGATCGTCGGGAGTGACTTTAGGAACTCCTTCATGTGGTGTATACTGCGCGCCCTTTCTTCAACAGGGGCTGCTGTCATGGTGCTCCTGCCACCCAGCGGGTGCAAATGGTGAGCTGTCGCGTTGATGGGGTTTGTGGGGGGTCGGCGTGATGTTGCTTGGCAAATCAAGCGCGCCCTGTGCGTTGAGGTCATGGGATAACATCCGGTTGGAGGACCGGCCCTGCGCTACAAAGATGTCCATCGCGCAGCGCGAAGGCCCCAGCGTAGCTCGGGGGGCTGGGGTTGGTGCTCAGGTCTCCAGCGGAGACCAAATCTTCACTCGGGGCCCTTGTGACATTCCGGATCTCAACCACACTTACGTTGGGCTGAAGACAAGGCAAACAATTGCGTCGGCTGCGCGGTCTGAACTCGCGGTTCGTTGGTGATAAGATTGTGCGCGTACGGCCGGCTGATTGGGTCTTGCGTGGCTCGTTCGGCGCTATTGTAAAGGGGCGCTGGGCACTGTTTTGCGTGGGCCGTAAAAAGACGTGAGGTGTGAAACTCAACGCCCGCCGAGGTGGGATTTGGTTCCTGGACGGAATGGTCCTGTTGAAATCTCGACGTTGTCGACGGTAGGCATCGAAAACTTCGTCGACCTGGTAAACCCGCGGTAGGCGCTGGTCAGGAAAACCAGGCTCATGAGTGAGAATGTGTGACGCCCGACTCCAGAAATACTGGAGAAGTAGTCCAATTTGCGAATGGCGGCCTTCTTCGTTTGGCAGTCAGCTGCGCAGAGAGGTTTCCCCCTGCGAAAGACTTCTTGCAACACAACTTACTGCCGAGGCAGCCCCTTTCCAGTCGGCGTGCGTACTTTGGCGGGCGTGTGCGCGCTGCTAGGCATGGACTCAACGCTGAGTGAGCGCACTTTCGGCGGGCGCCCTTACCATGTGCAGCCGCACGTGCGCTGCTGCACTTGGGTGGGCGCCCAGCTGGCAGGCGCGGATTCAATGCTGAGCGGCTTACCAACTGGTAGGCATGTAGGTGGCGCTGAGCAAGTGCACGTCGGCTTGCTATTTGGCTGAGTGGGCGCACTGCGTGGATTCAGTGCTGAGCGTGCACTTGAGCGGGCGCGCTTACGATTTGGCAGGCATGGACTCAGTCCTGAGCAGGCGCAAGAGTTGGTGCTACCATCCGGCAGGCGTGCACGCTGTGCCGAGCGGGTGGTCTTCGTGCATCATTCGGCAGACGTGGATTCAGTGCTGAGCAGGCGCACTTGAGGATTGAGCGCCTGGCGGGCGCAGACGAACGTACGTGTCCGATCTCCATCGCAGGCAGGCGCAAGGCACGTACACGCCCAACAACGAACAACCAACACCAACACCAACACCAACACCAACACCAACAGCAACAGCAGCAGCAGCAGCAGCAGCAGCAGCAGCAGCAGCCAGTAACAGCAGCAGCAGCAGCAGCAGCAGCAGCAGAAGCAACACCAGCAACAGCAACGGCAGCTGCAACAGCCCAACACCAGCGCCAGCAACAGCAAAGCAACAGCAACAGCAGCAGCAACAGCAGCAGCAGCACCAGCGAACGGCAGCCAAACCACCGCCACCGCCAACCACTATCGCCACCACAACAGCCACAACAAGAACAAGGACGACGACGACGATGATGACAACGACGACGCCGGCGGCAAGACAACGAGAACGAGAACGAGAACAAGAACCAGAACAAGAACACCAAACACCAAACAACAAACAACAAACAACAAACAACAAATAACAAACAACAAACAATCAACAACAAACAACAAACATCAAACAACAACCAACAACCAACAACCACAAACACAACCACAACAACAACAAGAACAAGAACAAGAACAAGCAAAAGAACAACAATAATAAGAAGAACAAGAAGAAGAACAAGAACAAGAACAAGAAGAAGAACAAGAAGAAGAACAAGAAGAAGAACAAGAAGAAGAACAAGAAGAAGAACAAGAAGAACAACAAGAACAACAAGAACACAAGAAGAACACAAGAAGAACAAGAAGAACACGAAGAACACGAAGAACAAGAAGAACAAGAAGAACAAGAAGAACAAGAAGAACAAGAAGAACAAGAAGAACAAGAAGAACAATAAGAACACAAGAAGAACAAGAAGAACAAGAAGAACAAGAAGAACAAAAAGAACAAGAAGAACAACAATAACAACAAGAACAACAACAACAACAACAACAACAACAACAACAACAACAACAACAACAACAACAACAACAACAACAACAACAACAACAACCACAACCACAACCACAACCACAACCACAACCACAACCACAACAACAACAACAACAACAACAACAACAACAACAACAACAACAACAACAGCAGCAGCAGCAGCAGCAGCAGCGGCGGCGGCGGCGACGACGACGACGACGACGACGACAAGAACAAGAACAAGAACAAGAACAAGAACAAGAACAACAGCAGCAGCAGCAGCAGCAACGACAACGACAACGACGACGACGACGACGACGACCAACCACAACTACAACTACAAGTTACTACTTCTAGTACTCTACTACTACTACTACTGCTACGACTACGACTGCGACTACGACAACGACTACGGCTACCACTGCGACTACGAGTGCTGCTGCTACTGCTACTGCTACTGCTACTGCTACTCCTACTGTTACTGCTCCTGCTACTGCTACTTCTACTGCTACTGCTACTGCTACTGCTACTACTACTACTACTACGACTACGACTACTACTACTACTACTACTACTACTACTACTACTACTACTACTACTATCTACTATCTACTACCTACTACCTACTATCTACTATCTACTATCTACTGCTATCTACTTTCTACTGCTATCTACTATCTACTACTTTTGATTCTACGATCACGACTACTACTACTACTGCTACTACTACTACTACTGCTGCTGCTGCTGCTGCTACTGCTACTGCTAGTGCTGCGGCTACCGCTACTGCTGCTGCTGCTACTCCTCCTGTGTCTATTGTCTATTGCGAATAGGCAAACCTAGGCAAAAACAGATAGTGGATGTATATAAAAATATATATCAGTTTTCCAGCTGCTCGACTTGTTGAGCTCCCAGGTTTCGAGCTTGCGAGTTTGCAAGCAACATGTTTGGTGAAGTGCTTGTAATGTTGGATGTTTCTCGTTTCATGCTTGTGTTTGTTCTCGATGCTTGACTTTTCCAGCTCTGGGTGCTCTGGAACAATGCCACCGAAAACAATTCCTTTCTAATATCAAGTGACACAGCAAGAAGAATGCAACAAAAACTCGAACTGTTGGATGAGTGGCCACACAGCGACAGCACTGCCTTTGACACATACTCATGGCGATGAAAAACTGAGGACGACGCCACGACGCCAAACTCCCCAAACCAAGCCCTGAATTCCTCCCGCAAAGGCAGCTGCAAGGCCAGAGAGCGAGTCATTCAGCCGCTGTTGCTCCCTGTCAGCTGCATCACCGGAGAGAGAGCCACATCGAAGTGCCGCATCGGACTCAGTACTCAAGGCTGGGAGCAGGACATCCTGAACGAGCGGCCAGCGGCAGCCCTGATGGTACGCGACAGCCATTGCCACGGTTCCCATCGCGCGAGACCGCACTGCGGCAAAGCCACTGCTGAAGATTTGCCTTGTGAGCTCCTCTATCAGCTTCTTCCGTCTTCCGGCATATCGATGGCCCCCACGACGCTCATGAATTCGATTCTCCATTGTGTCCGCCACACGTTCAACCCACCAAACCCTTGGCAGATCTCTCCACCTCGAATGCGGATGAAGCATCTCCAATGACGTTGATTGTAGCGCCAGTCCCTGAGCATGCTTCTCGACATGCCGCAGGCTGGGAAAAAGCCGCAAGCTGCTTGGATGTGTGTCACCCAAAGCCCCGACCAGCTCCGCCACACACTTCAGCAACTTCCGCATCACTCTGGAGACATCAATTTGGTCAAGCTTCCCGCTGGTTTCTGCGACGATACCGTACTGCTCTTGCGCCGCAAGCACTTGAAAGGAAGACAGAAGGACTGCCGACAACCAATTGAACATCACTTCTGCCGTATTGCCGGCCACCTTCAAGTTGGGCGGCAGCTGCCTGGATTTCAGTTCTTCCTGCCCCCTCTCGTCTGGCCACAGATCGCAAGTGCCCCTGAGTACCTGACTGGCAAGGCGTATTCCCAGCACAGCTCCGTGCGCAGCCTTCTTCTTCGCAGGCAAACTGGTTGCAAGACCCTCCAGCCATGGCGATCCCGAGTTTCCTGTGTCCAGCGCAGGGATGGGCACCTGCAAAACTGTACTGATCATCTTTCCGACCTGGCCCAGAACACCGAAGCACAAATCCCGAGCCCATGCCACTTCATCCTCGGAAGGCACGTGCCAGTCTGCTGATGGGGTAGCATCTGTGATCCACCATGGTGGCGGCGCGCCTGACCAAAGCAGAGTTCGCGCTGCCTCCGGCGGCACAGCACTTCCCAATCGAGAGCTCATCAGAGTCTGCCACATGGTGCCCCCGCACAGCCGGTAGTCATTGCCAATATATGTGGAAGTCAGCGAGTACAGGACCCGACGAAAAAGCTTCATGCCCAGCTTGGTCACGACCTCCCGCTCATCTAAGAAGGCGCACCGCATGATTGTTTCCAACGGCTGCCTATGGGCCAGCAGGGATGCCCCCCCACAGCGCACGGTGGCGGATAAAAGCGACAGCCACCATTTTGCCTCGCTTTCCGACACCCCGGCTTCGTGCAACGGCACGCTTGACCCTCGTGGAAGCAGCTTTTTGAACATTAACGGCAACATCATAGGTAGTGCAACTTCTGGACAAGCACGGGAGATAGCAAAAGCCACCATACCAGCCGGTTTCACTTGATCCGGAAGCAGGTGCGAGCCCAGAAACTGACACAAGACCTCCACCATTTGCTTGTAGGTTTCCCGGTCGGTCTGCGATGCTGCTATGGCAAGGGCTCCATGGAGCAAGCCCATAGTAGCAAGCTCTAATGAGATTTTCCCGTTCTTCACCGCCCGAGCCTTTGGAATCCTGGACACGTAGTCACAGGCCCGCTCAACCAAATCAATGGCAAAAGAAGGTAGCATGGAAGACACGATGCCCGTTGCACCGTAGTCCGGGTCTCCAACCTTCAGTTGACATTCTCTTGGAAGGGGCCAGCGAAGCGCAGGATGCGGCTCTTGCGGCTGCGGCAGTTCGCTTCCCTGCCAGTCGTTGGAATCCAGGCATGGCACGTTGATCAGCACACATAGCAACAGCCGAAGCGCGCTCAAGGTCTTCGGGCTGTCTGTGGCATCGATGCCTTGCAACATCAAAGGCAGAAGTTCACCGATGACTGAGGGCATCTGCAAGCTGAGAGCCGGCACTACTGATGAAAATACGCGCAGTAGCGCCACATGGCGCCCAGATTGCGTTGGATCATTCAGGAGCTCAGTTGACTGCATGACCATGGAGTGGAAGTCCATTCTGAATGGATCTGCTGGCGAATCCGAAAAAACAACAGGCGCAGAGGAGTGCATTGCTGAAATCTGAGTCAACCGCGCAATATTCTCCATTGATGTTGCCATTTCGTATGCCCCGCGGAGCATCATCAAATCGCGCACCAATGGAAGCATGAGCTCCACAAAGGTTTGGTCTGCTTCTGCAGTCAGCCGTGTCTCCGGAAGGGCGGTGCACTCAAGCAGCCGCTCTCTGCAAATCCTTCGGTAGTACAAGGAAATGAGGCTGTGCAGCAGGGTCACACAGTGCCACAGCCAGTCTCCTTGACATGTTGCTGGGGTGAGGAACGGCCTCATGCGGCGTTGCAGCAGGGTCAAAATCGTCCACACCTCCTCTTTTGGCTGCGTCGGCTTTGGCTCCAGCATGTATATCAGGAAGAAGGCAACATCCTTCCAAGCAGACTGGTTTCCCATGAAAACGGCGTCAATCTCATCCGGGATTTGATAGCGGTCAAGCTCCGGGAATGACTGTCCCTTGCCGTCCACCGCTTTGGCAGCTGGAGAGCCAAAGGGCAAGCAGAGCGTGCGGCAGATCTTGTTCATCAACCAGGGGAGCTGCTTCCGCAAGGCAGCCGAGCACTCTGCGTGGCCTGCCTCTAGCTGGTTTGCCCACTGCAGCTCCACAAATCGCGACAACGGCATGAACCACATGAGGTCGTACTTGGGGAGCAAGCCTTCCGGCACCCGCGACCACCAAGACCAAAGCCGGCCGTCGAGGATCAGCTGCGGAGTGCAAGCTCGCGGCGTGAGCACTGCCAACATCTTGGCATAGAACAGGGAGTACACATAGAAGCCATCAATCCTACTGGCTAGCTCTGCCATCAGCTCCTCACCCTGAGCAACAGAGATGGAACCTTGGAGGTAGCTAAAGGTTGTGCACAAACTCGCAAGGTGATGAACATAGCTTCGCCTCTTGGAATTGTTGATGGAGCAATCTGTGCGAGGACTCTTCCTGACCTCTTCGACTATCATGTGGAGCGGGACCTTGACATCCAACACGTCAAAGAGACTGGCAACTTGATCAGCCTCTGTCTCGTTGGGCTCAGCCCTCCAGAATGGCTGTATGTGATCCAAGTTCAGGTGACACAGCCAGCAGCGCAAGTTGTCCAGAATCTTGCTGCAATTCGCGTAGCCATAGAGCGGGGCGTCGGCTTTGGCAACTTCAACCAAGAGCTTCCAGAGAGCAGCACACACTTTGATTTTGAATTCGATCTTGGTGGGAATTTTCTGCTCCTCCAAGTTCTTCAGGCATCGCAGCCCGAAGGCAAGCTCTGAAGAATGCGGAGGGGCCGGATCACCTGAGTGCCGAAATCTCTCTTGCAGATGCGAAACAAACACAGCCCCGCAGAAAACACCCCTGCGACTCTGTGAACTTCAGCGAGGCGCTTGACAACAGTCGTAGAATCACAGACTGTCGCTCTTCAATCTCTTCGGCATATCCTTCTGCAACCTCCGGAGGTAAGTACCTGTGAGCACCGCAGGTGCCAACCCACTAAGTTCCCATACCATCGGCTACTTGAGGAAGTTCTGTACCCAGGCTGTACAGCCGCAACGTCCCAAAATGCTTCTGAGCTGCTTTGGGAAGTCGCTTAGGTCCGCCATCTTTTGGAACATCGTCCCTGTCTCGCCATTTGGAGAGGACATGGCGGCTACAAGGCAAACCTTGCACGGTTGGCGAAATGTCGCCTTGTTTCCCCCTGCTGAGTCTGTTGGCCTTGGCAATCCGTGTGTGGCTGATACGTGTGTTTGCGTCGCTGTGGTTGGCTGTTGGATTTTGACGGGGTTCATGTCATCCCGCTGGCCTTCTCCAACCTACAAAGTACTCGGATTCTAAACACGATGCTACTCAACATGTGTCACAGTTCACATTCTCCCGGGACGGGCTATTGCTGATCATGGAGCTTGAGGTGAAGTCGTTGATAATGGACTTGCCAGAAAGCTTGCATTGGCAGAGCCAAGGCAAGCTTCTTGTCTCCAATCTGGACGAATGCGAGACAGACTCCCGCTTCACGGGGAGAACGCCGTCCTCTCAGAAGTATGCTGCTTTGGCAAACTACGTTGGACAAGTTGAGAATGACAAACAACGCATCAGGTGTGTACGTGACAGCTGGCCAGCTGGCTCGATTATGTAAAGCATACCCAACTTGGCAACGGTAAAATGACAGGTCGGGTCAGGCCGATCGAATTGCACTCTTGCATGAAGTGCGAAGTGACACATACGCTTGTCATGACGATGGTCCCATGTGAGGACAGTCAAGTCTCATCAAGCTGGAACCTCGGGTAATATTTCAACTTGGCTTCGCATGGCAAATGGCGCCCCAAGCGCTGCCCCATGTACGGGCGCTCATGTTCAATGGAATTCTTCTCCCTTGCCGGGAGGCATCGGAGTCTGAGCCGTGGGGCAGCAACACCTTGAAATGAAACGCACGAGTGTGAGCTACAGCGGCTGACCTGAATGCCCAACGCTGATTTGCAAATGCAGCAAAAGCGCATCATAGTCTTCGCCGTTTCCCACTTGCCCAACGCCCCTGGCTGAGGATGACGGGCGTCGCCGCCACAACCTGTTACAAGCATTGTCAGCCACAGCATGATCCCTCCCACCTCTGAGAGCAGCGCAGGAATGGAGCAGCTAAACCTACCGCAGCCAGGACCGCCAAAGCGATGTTCCTCGCTTCCAACTGGCATCGATCCGTCATATGCCACGCAAGCGCACTTTGCAGCCTTAGATTCCACAATGCAGCCAAGTTGCATTGCTTGTGGCAGGGTCGGTCGCCAAAACGCCTTCTGGGATTCTGGCAAGACCTCCCAATAGAAAGACCTTACCGAAATAGCCGGCCAGTATTGTCAACGTAATGTTTTCTGATACAAAAACTCAAGTAGATGCCACGTGACTGCATGGCTCTGTTGTCGCACCTCGGCTACACACGCGTGCGCCCGCCAGCATCATTGCATGATTCAACTGCTCGCACACATGCGCTTAACAGCTTGGTGCCCAAATGAGCTTAGTCTCCGTGCTGGCCCAGAAATGGCGCCGACAATCCCGCTGAGGACGTTAGCAGAGCTGCCCGCCAGAATGCAGGATCTATATGGAAACTGGACCTAGGCAGAAAGCTTCTGGTCCCAAAAGCACATTTTTTGTGTTTTGAATTCAACGCTCCCTCAGCATCCTGTTCAACACCACTCCCCTTCGTCTTCCGTCAGGTTTTCGGACTAGCGTCTCAGCGATGTTGATGCCCGGCAGGGCCAGTTTTACCAAACAAGCTCTGAGAAGTATTAGATGGACCCCCGCTATCTCTTTGCAAATGCAATCTTTGGTTTGATGTTCATGTAGGCTTAAACATGTTGGCGATGCTGCTGATGCCACGTGACATCGTGCGCCACGCTTGCAACTTATGCTTTCTGGCCACTCTAGTTGCTTTCTTCTTTGTTTTCCTTTTGTTTGCTTCCTTATTTAGCTACGAATTATCTATCTGTATGGGTTTCCCCTTGTCATCTCTTGATGTGCCTAAACACTCCATGGAATCTCTTTATCAATCCATTTGTCGCGCATAATCATTTGCGTGTCTGCCCCCTGCTCAGGAGCGTGTTGACAGTCTTGGACTTCATCTCGCCATCTTGCAAGGGGGTCATTAACAAAAATGGGCCCTTCGTATACCATGAGGCCTCCGGTGAGTTGTCTGTCGCAACCACACGATGCCCGAAGCTGAGCCTAGTTGCCCGTAGGAGAAGCAACGCACTGGGCAAATATTGAGGATGGCATGCCATTCTTGCCAGAAAGCGGATTTTGCTCGGCAAATGCGGGTGGCAAGGGTGCTGTTCTGAGGCGAACGACTGTCCTGCTTGTGTATCTTGTCTGCTTTTGTCACTCTCCTTCTCTCTATGTCTCTCTCTCTCTGTCGATGCTTGCGAGATGGTAAGCACACACGCCCACACCCGCTTTACCCCTTCCATGCCTGTAGGCCCACCCGCTTGCGTGAGCTGGAAAAAGGCAGCACGTCTCTTCGTCCGCATGTTTGAAAAACCAGGCCTATTTGAACACAACCCGCGAACCCTGAGAAAAAACAGGGAATTTGCTTGCTTGCTTGCGTGCTTGCTTGCTTGTTTCCTTGTTTGTTTGTTTGTTTGCTTGCTTGCTTGCTTGATTGCCTGCCTATGGTTTTTTCCCCATTTTTTGATTGCTTGTTTTATTGTGTGTTTTCTTTTTTGCTTGTTTGCTTGCTTGTTTGCTTGTTTGGCTCGGTCGATATTCATGCAGCCCACCCTACCCCCCACCCCCCCACCTGCCCACCCCCCACCCCATCGCAAAATACCTCGTTGGCTGCCTGGCTGGATCCTTCACAATTCCTGGCCAACCGCAAAAGCAAAAAATGTGAGCTGGGATCAACAGTTTGGCGTCAGCACGTTGATTTCGCTTGTTCAGCGGGAGTGTGCTGGCAGCATGTGCACACAAATCACTTGACCAAGTACTCTCAGGCAAACAGTGAGGCAAGCAGGCAAGGCAAGTGAATCGGCGGTCAATCTGCACACAGGCACTCCAAAGCTGGACAGGATAATGCAGCAATGTCACCGTGAAGTGCGTGCACTCTTTTCGTTGATGGCAGCGCTTCTGGCATTCCCTCATGCTGGCACAGTCACCCATATCTCAACAGCATGGAGCGGCCAAGTTGCAGAGTTGCATCCTCCTCAGAGGGAAAGTCCTGCAGCAAAAGCATCTTCCACAGCCGTCAGGTAGATACGGCTGGCACCTCACGAAGGGTCCTTGGCCTCCAGCGTTGCATAAGCACCATCCAAAGCAGGAGAGAAAGAGGAGCCCCAGGTCATGCAGGCAAAGGATATGGGAACCTCAGTTCGTGTGTGGTACAGGTGGCTCCTAGCAAAAAGGATGTATTGTCAAGATGCATAGGTTGTATGCCCCTTGTCTATCAGCAAGCCCTTGTCCTCGCACAGAAAGACATTGTGCCACACATGCGCAGCCCCAAATTCTGAGGCACTGCCACATGTCACTAATTCATTTCTTCCTGCCTTCACCTCATTCCAGCATGTGGGAGGACCAGATATCCAACCCAAGCTGTTTACCTGCACAGGGTCCAATGGGCCATGCCAACACTTACACTTGAAACTGTAAAACTGCGCGGCTTCAGGGCGGGCGCTGCTTTGCGCAAATGTTTGCGCCTGTGGCGCAGCTGAAAAGCCGCTCAAATGACAGCTGCCCTTGACAACTCCCGCGGGGGGCTCCAGGAAGGAGAAGTGTAAGCCTTGGCTCCATGCAGGGTGACGCTGATAGCCCTGCTGATATGATGCAGCAGACGTTTCGGCACTACACATGTGGAATATTATGTGTTTGCTTATCTATTATTATTGCTATTATTGTTCTCGTTATTATGATGAATATTATTGTTATTTGTCTTCTAATTAAGACTATTGTCATTATTATTGTGTTTGTGTGAAGCGTATTCGGTCTACTTCATATCACTTACAGGTTCTGTGCACATCATCGGCGCGCAGAAAAGGGTTGACACAACCATTACCCCGTTCAACGGTGCAAACGCTTGCCTTGCTTCTGACACCCGACAGCCTGTGTCAAGACCCTTGCCAATTTGCCATTCAAAGGCTGGCAGCAAATGCTGTTGCAGTTTGCCGGGTGCTGTTGCACGGTGCTGGGCCAGCTGCTGTCGCGGGTTGTTGTGAAGCGCTGTTGAGGCGCTGTTTGCGGTTGTGTTACTGGGGGGGGGGGAAAGGAGGTTGCAGGAAGGGGGCCCCAAGAATTGCTGTCGCGATGGCACTTGCCCCGTCAAGCAGCAAGCGCACCCCATGATGGCGCGGGCGGGCCAAACTCAGCTCCAACAGCAATAGGCTATCAGTTTAGACTAGACAATCTTTTGGCAATGACTTCACGCACTGTCCGCACGTCTGTCGTGCCTTTGCATAGTGGCCTCCTTGCTGAGGCAACGAGCGTGTGTCGCCGCTGGACCCCCGGCCGCAGCGCAAACAAAGGGCTGAGATTTGCGTCGCCCTGCAGTGGATGGACTGGCAAGTTGCCCCCGGTTCTCAAGTTTGTGTTTGGGTTCACGTTGGTTTCGGTTGGGTTTAGGGAAGGTTCAGGGTGGATTTAAGGCTTGTTTAGGCGCGCAGGGTTGGTTTGGGGTTGGTTTCGGTTGGTTTTGGGTTTGTGCGTACAGGCGCTTTATGTTTAGGATGGATTGCTTGCTGTTTTTGGGGTTGGTTGAGGGTGGGTTTAGAGTTTGGTTTAGGGATGGTTTAGTGCTTGTTTAGTGTGGGCTTCGGGTTGGTTTAAGATTGGTTTAGGGTGGGTTTGGCGAAGGGTGGTTTTAGCTTAGGTGGGCTTGGTTGGTTTACAAATGGTTTATTGTGGTTAGGGCGGGGCTAAGGTTTCTTGAGTGAGATTAGGGTGGATATAGGTTTTGTTTCAAGCTGGTTTAGGGTGGGCTTCAGGCGTTCAAGGTTGGGCTTGGATTTGGGTTTGTCAAAAAGCCAAACAATGCTCTATCGGGGGGGGGGGGGGTACAGGGCGGGGTGGGCGCCCCCCCAAAGAACACAAATAAGAACATTAACGGAGAAAGCGCACCATTACAAAGGTGCTGGTTGTAATATGGGGGGGGGGGGGGTTGGGGGTGTTATTTGTGATGCCGAGGGGGTTTTGCCAAAAGCCACCAACAGCCCCAAAAAAATAAAAATAAAAAATAAGCTCAGGCGATATCCCCAACAGCACCACACCCGCCCCGGGACCCACCTCACCGCCGGTTTTGCTGAGGATGCCGCCTTGTAAATTTGTGAAGCAAAGCTAAGAGTGACAGCACAATCGCGCCCTGATCGGGGCCCGACGGCACCATCGGGGCCCGATCGGGGCCCGGCGGCACAATCGGGACCCCATCGGAGCCCGACGGCGCAATCGGGGCCCGATCGGGGCCAGATGGTGCAATCGCGGGCCCGACGGTGCAATCGGGGCGAATGGGGTTCGACGGCGCCATCAGGCCCGACAGTCCCGTGGCGCAAGCGGGCCCCCACCAACCCCAGCCACCCATGTTATAGCTGAACGCCGGTTTTGCTTAGAATGCTGCCTTGCAAGTGTGTCTAGCAAAACTAGGCGATACCGGATTGGTAGGTGATGAGGCCTGATCGGGGCCCGACGGCGCAACCGGGTGAACCTCACAGACCGTTCTCGTGGAACCCTCGTAGGCTCAGCATGAAACTTTGTTGGAACCTGTCCTCAGGGCTGCCCCATAGCTTTTGCAGAACCTGGTGGAAACCTCGTGGAGCGCTTTTGGAATTTTATTCCGTAGCCTTGCAGCTTCGTGGGGCCCTTGGAACCCAAAGCCCACCAAGTAGTACTCAGTAATGCCAAGCGTTTGCTCTGCTACACAATAAGTTTGCCACAAAGCTCTCGCGTTGCCTGAGCAAGTGAGTGACCATTCATTTCGGTTTTGCTTAGTGTTCCGCCCATGAGCAAAGCGATCTTCTGAGCCCTCAATTTACTGCTCCGATGGCTTTTCAGACGGTGGGGGCACGACACATTGCTTCCTTGCAGAACATTTGTGGAACTTGTCGAGCGTTTGGAGCCTTGTGACCCTTGTCGAATCCTTGGAACTGCTGTGAAACCCTTACCTCAGCCACAGCCCGTGGAACCCTGGAACCCTCATAGAACCCCAGCCTTGCTAGAACCTTACCTTGGTCACCCCAACTACCCCGTAGCCCTGGGAATTACCTCAAACCACCCTTGCAGTACCTGATAAAACCCTGGTGCCCAACCTGGTGAGTCTGTAAGAACCTGACCTCAAAACCTTGGCGGAACCCTTGTGGAACCTTACCTCAAACCACCGACCACCCCGCAAACCTTGTGCAACCCTGGTGGAACCTCGTGGAACCTTGTCAAAACACCCCAGCCCTCGCAGAACCCTGGCGGAACCTTTGTGGAACCTTATCCCAAACCACCCCATCCCGTAGCCTGGTGGATCCTAATCCGGACCACCCCGCAGCCCTTGCAGAACCTTGTGGAACCTTGGTGGAACCTTCGTGGAACCTTAGCTCAAACCACCCCAGACCATCCCGCAGCCCTTGCAGAACTTGGTGGAACCCTGGAACCTAACCTCAAACCACCCCGGACCACCCCGCAGCCCTTGCAGAACCTGGTGGAACGCTGGTGGAACCCTCGTGGAACCTTACCTCCACCCACCCCCTCGTAGAACCTCGTGGAACCTTACCTCAAACCACCCCGGACCACCCCGCAGCCCTGTAGAACCTTGCCTCAAACCACCCCGGACCACCGTAGAACCTGGTGGAACCCTGGTGGAACCCTCGTCGTGGAACCTTGCCTCAAACCACCCCGGACCACCCCGCAGCCCTTGTAGAACCTGGTGGGACCCCAGTGGAACCCTCGTGGAACCTTACCTCAAACCACCCCGGACCACCCCGCAGCAACCTGGTGGAACCTTGGTGGAACCCTCGTGGAACCTTACCTCAAACCACTCGTGGAACCTGGTGGAACCCTGGTGGAACCCTGGTGGAACCCTGGTGGAACCCTGGTGGAACCCTCGTGGAACCTTACCTCAAACCACCCCGGACCACCCCGCAGCCCTCGTAGGGAACCCTCGTGGAACCTTACCTCAAACAACCCCGGACCACCCCGCAGCCCTCGCAGAACCAGGTGGAACTCTGGTGGAACCCTCGTGGAACCCTCGTGGAACCTTACCTCACGGTCGCCCCGGACCACCCCGGAGCCTATCTGGGCTGAGACCCCAAAGCTTTCAGCTGTTGGGGAAAAAACAAGCCAGCCCAGATACCAAAAAAAAAGCCCCCCCCCCATGGCGAGACTCTGCCAGTTGGATTGTCTGTGGCTTCAGGTTAAAGGGGCATGAACTGTTCAAGAGGTCCTTCAATCCAAGACGCAGCCCTTCTGCTTTGCGCACCTGTCTTGGCATTGCTGAAGCGATGAGATAGACATAGTCGTGCCCGGCATGTCCAAGGGAGCGAAAGAAACCTCACGTTGCCATAGCGCAAAAGCAACACGCCCTTAAGCATTTAGTCACTTGAATTACACAAATCCTGTTGTGATTCTACTACATGCCTCACCCCAAAAGGCACATGCCATCTTTCCTAGCGGCTGATTTCTCAGCGCACGCCGGCCCAGATGGCTTGGGAGTTGTCAAACTCACTGATAACGCGTGCGTGGTGGTCGTGGTAGTCTGACGGGAGGAAACTCATCATGCCGTTTCACTTGTCGCTTGCACATTGGCACGCTCAAGCTGCAGCAACTCCAGGGCTGCGGCGATCAGGCGAATCATTTGCTGCTTCGACTCCAGGAACAGCTTTAACTCCGCAAGTGCCTCCGTCACATTGCTTTGACGATTGCATCTTTTGCACTCAAACAATCGCCTGATCCAGTGTCATGCCAACGGGGGCACTGCTCCATGTGAAATACGCCGCCCACTTCCTTGGTCAATGCTTGGCCCTTCCTCGTATGGCTCAAGGACACGCAGCTACCAGGACTACCAGGTAGATCCAGGTAGTGTGCACTGTTTGGGATCTTTGTTGGCAACTTCAACCTCGTGAGACCACTAGATGACCAAATATCAAACCATTGACAAATGATCCACCTACCGCTGTGGTCTTGATGTCAAGAGCGAGATATTCTAATGAACCAGGGTCCGATCTGACACTGCTGGGGGGACCCTCCAGTCAAATTAATCTAAAGCACAAATTCTCGCCGGAGAGAGGAAGATCTTTGAAGAGCGGACTCTGAAGAGCAGCACCTGGTGACACAGTCCAGGAACAGCAAGTTCATTACCCTCTCATACTGCAAAGTGCAAGCTGGCCACGTTTCAGATACTCTTCCATATCCTCTGTGCTCTTCCTCAGCACGTGTGTGCTTCCAGACCGCTTGTTTTGCCCATGCTCCCATATGTCTTTGCAATGAGCTCGTGGCCTGGCTGCAACCAACGCCAAGCCATCATCAGAGATCTTGGCAGATTGCGGATCAGACTCGCCTTCACCTAGCAAGTGGACGAAAGTAGTTTAGCTTGTGCTGCGAAACGCTGCAAACATAGTGCAGCTGAGATCACACGTGTCTGTGTAGAGGCAGCAGCCATCGGAGGCTGCCTGTGTCTTGCAAACCGGCCTTGGAAGAGGCGACATGAGTTCGACAAATGCACTTTGACACAGCGCTGCTACGCTGCTGGATAGCCAAGTCCTCAGCGGAGCCACGTGCGCGCCGCCGGGCAAAAGGCATAAAGCGAAGTTGCCAACGCCCTGATGAAAGGCCACAAAGTGAAAACAAAACAGTCAGCTGATGCCAAGGCTCAGTGTATGTAGAGCTGGTCAGAATATTCAAAGGACAATGAGGCTTAGAACCGGGTGGCCCATGCTGCGTGCCTGGCAAACTCGGCTCTTGCAGTTGTGAGCCCCGTCCGCATTTTCATGCCATCTATCGAATGGCAAAGCCCATCACAACAACCATCAAGTACCCTTGCCCTGCCAGGCATGCACGGCATGTCAATGTGTAGCAGCGCCAACTTCCCCGAACACCCATTGACGGGCCGATCTGTGGGGGAATGCAGAATTGGTCGGAGATGAGAGGCGGCCAACCCGGCGCAGATGTCAGAGTGGACCAGGCCAAACGAGCGATCCAAGAGAAGGAATCAAGCAGGAGTGCTAGAAAGAATCTCCACAACAAAGACAATTCTGCGGAGCGCGAGCACCTGATCAGCCTGGGGCGAGCAGAACAGGGTGGCTTTAGCTGTGACGAAGCAACTGCGCCGCTCCACCAACAACATGAGGTTCATTACGGCCCACTTTGACGGGTTATTGGTGAATAAAGATGCAGCTATCACAGGAACCGTTCATGCCTCCGACGCTACCATTCATGATTCTGTGTACGACAGCGGAAATGTGGACACTAAGATCGGCTTTTCGAGCAATGACGTGTTTTCACTTTTTACTGGAAATCAAAGCCGCATGACGATCACCAGTACGGTCATGTAGGATCAGAAAAAGCATCCCAACACCTTTCTGTAGACGGTGTGGTAGGAGCGGCATACAATGCTTCAGAAGCCAAATGCATTGAATTGAGTCATGGTGGTGGAAATGCGCACATCAACATGAAGGGAGGCGGTATGGCTCAAAGCAAATAAAACTCGACAACGGAGGTTTGATCCCAGCCTGGAATCCAGCAGCGGTCACAGGCTCCATTGAAAGTTCGAGTGCCTTGGTGCACACGCAACCATGTCCTTTCGACCACAAATCACCTCGCAGTCATGCAGCAAAGCTGACCTGAATAGCTCTCACATCCCAGCTGCAATAAGGACCAGCAAAGCCCAACTCCAGCAATGGCTTGCAGGACCAACTGGTATCTTTCCTGAACCAAAGCTCAAGCACTAGTCACTAGACAGAATTTGCTAGGCGGCCTTGTCCAGCAATCTGTTTGACTCATGATGCGTGGGTCAAGGCTCACGGAAAATGGGTGAGGCTCTAGTCACTGCAATTCCAAACCAGGGCTCGACGCTGGGCAGCTGCGGGCCAGCGCGGAGGACTCCACCAGGTTGTGGCTTTCCAAGGCCCCGGGAACTCCCATAGCGAACCCAACCTGACGGGATCGGCCATAAGACGTGCACCGCATGACTCCTGAGTTGTTTGATACACACACACACACACACACAGCGAGCTGCAGGCCATCTCTGCTCGGCGCTCGTTGGCCCTGGCATCACATCGACCCTGCCAGAACGGCAGGCCTTACACCAAGGCATTTCAGCGGTCAACTGAGCTGCTGATGGGTTCAACACTTCGCATCCGAGATGCCAAGATAAGCCTCTGCACTGCTGCTCAGCACGTTTTTGCAAGCCTCTGCCTCCAGGCCATCCGGGCGCTTCAGGCTCTTCAGGCTACAAAAGAGTGTCTGTGTGTGTGTGTGTATGGGTGTGTTTGTGTTTGTGTTTGTTTGTTTGTGGCCGGGGTGCGTGCTCGTGCGCATGCAAGCTGGCACGTGGGTATGTTGGTGCCTTGGTGCGTGGGAGCGTGGGTGCTGCGTGCCGCTTGCTGGGTGCTGTGTGCTGCATGGCGCACGCGTGGGCGTAAGCGCTTGTGCGTGCTGGCGCGCACGCTGGTGCGCGTGCTGGTGTGGGCGTGCGCAGGTGGATGAGTGCGTAAGTGCGTGGGTGCGTGGGTGCGTGGGTGCGTGGGTGCGTGCATGGGTGCGTGGGTGGGTGGGTGGGTGGGCGGGTGGGCAGGTGGGCGGGTTGGTTGGTGGGTGGGTGGGTGGGTGGGTGGGTGGGTGGGTGGGTGCGTGCGTGGGTGCGTGCGTGCGTGCGTGGGTGGGTGGGTGGGTGGGTGGTGGTGTGTGTGCGTGTGTGGGCGTGCGTGTGCGCGTCTGTGTGTGCATGCGTGCTTGCTGTGGTTCTGTCGTGGCTGCGGTTGTGGTTGCGGTTGCGGTTGTGGCTGCGGTTGTGTTGTTTTGCGCTTGTGGCTATGGCTGGGGGTGCGGCTGTGGTTGTAGCTCTGGTTCTGGTGCGTTGCTGTTTCGGTATCGCTGTTTTTGTTACACTTGTTGTTCTTGTTGTTCTTGTTGTTTTTGTTGCTGTTGTTGCTGCTGTCTTTGTTGCTTTTGCTATTGTTGCTGCTGTTGCTGTTGCTATGGCTGTTGCTGTTGCTGGTGTTGTTCTGTTTGTTTGTTTTTCTTGTTCTTGCTTGTTGGTCTTGCTCTTGTTCTTGTTCTTGTTCTTGTTGCTGGTCTTGGTATTGTTGGTGTTTATTCTTGCTGTTGTCGTTGTTGGTGTTGTTGGTGTTATTGTTGTCGTTGTCGTTGTCGTTGTCGTCTTTGCCGTTATCGTCGTCGTTGTTGCGGTCGTCGTTGCTGCCGTTGTCTTTGTCTTTGTCTTTGTCTTTGTCGTTGTCGTCCTCGTTGTCGTTGTTGCGGTTGTCTTTGTCGTTGTCGTTGTCTTGTCTTTGTCTTTGTCTTTGTTGTCGTTGTCGTTGTGGTTGTCGCTGTCGCTGCTCTTGTGGTTGTGGTTGTTCTTGTTGTTGTTTGTGTTTGTTTGTTTCGTTTGTTTGCCTTGTTTTCCTTCTTTTGGTGTTGCTGTTGTTGCTGCTGCCATTGTTGTTGCGGGTTGGTTGGTTGGTTGGTTGGTTGGTTGGTTGGTTGGTTGGTTGGTTGGTTGGTTGGTTGGTTGGTTGGTTGGTTGGTTGGTTGGTTGGTTGGTTGCTTGGTTGCTTGCTTGGTTGCTTGGTTGCTTGGTTGCTTGGTTGCTTGGTTGCTTGGTTGCTTGGTTGCTTGGTTGCTTGGTTGCTTGGTTGCTTGGTTGCTTGGTTGCTTGGTTGCTTGGTTGCTTGGTTGCTTGGTTGCTTGTTGCTTGGTTGCTTGGTTGCTTGGTTGCTTGGTTGCTTGGTTGCTTGGTTGCCTTGGTTGCTTGGTTGCTTGGTTGCTTGGTTGCTTGGTTGCTTGGTTGCTTGGTTGCTTGGTTGCTTGGTTGCTTGGTTGCTTGGTTGCTTGGTTGCTTGGTTGCTTGGTTGCTTGAGGCTTGTGCTATGTTCTGTGTCTTCCATGTGTTCCGTACGTCGCATGTGTTGCACGTGTGGTGTGTGCGCTTGTTGCTATACGAAACCGTCGTGTATGTATTGAAGCTCAAGACACTCGAGACAACTGTCTCGGATCTCGGCAGACCCCCTTTGTGAAAAGGCCTTGGCCTTGTACGACGAGAACCCCCCATATAACATCGCTAGAGGCCTAGCTTCTGGGAAAGTGGGAGCGCGTTGCGCTCGAAGCGCTTTGCAGCAGGGAGAAGTCTAACCTACTACTAGGTCCATCTGCAATGTTACTGTGGGCTGGCACTTGGTATTGGCCCCCTCGGCCTTGCAGCATCATGGTCAGGATGCGACGCGCGCTGCCGTGAACCAGGCGCCGAAGCAGGTAAAGCTGCACGTTGCGGCTCTCGATGGCGACGACGGCCATACGCGTGTTTAAGAGCAAACACCCGCGCAACCCTTGCGCCTCAGCAGAAGCTAAGACCCCGGAACCGAGCACAGCTCTGATATCTCGGGAATTCCTCCATACGCAGGGGGTGTTCTGAACAGTGATCTGTCGTCTGTCCTTCGCAGAAAGGTCAACATGCACTCACAGGTTGTCGGAAAAGGGCTTGTTTTTCTTTTCTTCTGTGGCGACTTGCCACACAAGGAGGCGAAACACGCTTTCGAGCGAGGGCTGGCTTCGACGGTAAACACTACGGTGAAATCGTCGAAAAGCAAATGGTGACGATGCGCAGAGATCCTCTGGCAAGAGATTTGAGCGCTTGGCTACAGCGTAGAAATGCGTGCCCTGACGCAGTGGCTCCAAAAGAGACTGTGCAAGCGTGTACATTAGGTTTGGTGCTCATGTGGGTCCAACTGATCGGCTCGCACAGCGAGCTGTTTGTAGGCACATTTCAGGCGCCAAGTGCGGCCTACGAGGCCCTCGGAAGACTTGGAGCGCGCTGCTGCAACGAGGCCATGCGTTAATCAATATTGTTCATTTGGACCTTTTCGATAGACCCGCGCGCGGCGTTTACAAAACTGCTGCGGAAGTTATCGATTGGGCGTGTTCTGAATTTTTCGTCGCACTGCGAGACGTGCTGACACAGTGTTGTTGGCACGCAGACCTTCAGTGACAGGGAAAGATGTGGATTGAGGCTTGAGTTAGCTCATCTTGCGTGGCCTCCCAAAGGCTCTTGAACGCGCTGCGCAGCAGCGATGGGTGGCTGACTGATACGGGCGGCCGGCCCGCCAACACGGGTTTCGGGTAAAAGCGGCGGTTTCTGCCGAAGCGCCCCACAAGCCACTCGGCTGCAGCCAGCCGGCTAAATGGAAGCTGGTTCGCAGCTCGTCCGCCACGCACAGGTCACAATAGTGTTTGCTGCTAAAAGCTTTGAAAGGTAAGCGCTTAGGGCTGGTGACATGATTTATGTCGCAGTGGCGGTTTGCCCTGGCTGCCAACTGCGGCACCTGAAACTGTTGTCGCAAGGCGACTATGGTTTTTAATGACTGGGCCCGTTCGTGAGTTGACGTCTCGGAGTAGCGGCTCCACACAAGCCTGCTCGTCGTGAGAGATGGAGCTTGAACGTGCTTAAGCCAGACAACTGCACAGAAGCAGTGCCGGATTCCAACGCCGCAGCAAGCTCATGCATATTTGTGCGTCTGTGCGTCTGTGCGTCTGCGCGTCTGTGCGTCTGTGCGTTTGCGCGTTTGTGCGTTAGTGCGTTTGTGTGATTGTGCGTTTGTGCGTCTGTGCGCTTTTGCGTTTGTGCGTCTGTGCGTCTGTGCGTCTATGCGTTTGTGCGTTTGTGCGTTTCTGCGCTTTTGCGTTTGTGCGTTCGTGCGTTCGTGCGTTTAAGTGTTTTTGTGTGTTTGTGCGTTTGTGCCTTCGTGCGTTTGTGCGTTTGTGCGTTCGTGCCTTCGTGCGTTTGTGCGTTTGTGCGTTCGTGCCTTCGTGCGTTCGTGCGTTCGTGCGTTTGTGCGTTTGTGTGTTTGTGCATTTGTACGCTTGTGCGTTTGTGCGTTTGTGCGTTCTACGTTTGTGCGTCTGTGCTTCTGTGCGTCTGTGCGTCTGTGCGTCTGTGCGTCTGTGCGTCTGTGCGTCTGTGCGTCTGTGCGTTTGTGTGTTTGTGTGTTTGTGTGTTTGTGTTCTTGTGTGTTTGTGTGTTTGTGTGTTTGTGCGTGTTGTGTGTCTGTGCGTTCGTGCATTCGTGCGTTCGTGCGTTCGTGCGTTCGTGCGTTTGTGCGTTTGTGCGCTTGTGCGTTTGTGCGTTTGTGTGTTTTTGCGTTTGTCTATGTGTTTGTGTGTTTGTTCGTTTGTGTGTTTGTGTGTTTGTGTGTTTGTGTGTTTGTGTGTTTGTGTGTTGGTGTGTTTGTGTGTTTGTGTGTTTGTGTGTGTGTGTTTGTGTGTTGGTGTGTTTGTGTGTGTGTTGTGTGTTTGTGTGTTTGTTTTTTTTCTGCGTTTCTGCGTTGTTGCGCTTGTATCCCCGTTAGAGGTTCCAAACAGGGTTGGACCCCCCCCATTTTATCAGATAAAATAGGGTCAGTCCAACCTTGTTGGAAAATAAAATGAACTAGTCCAACACTGACAGCAAATAAAATGAAAAATCACGATTTATTTTGACCTCATGTTGGGGGTTGGTGTGAACAGTCCGAGTTGGACAAAACGTATTCTACTTTATTTCCTATGAAAATCAAGTCGAGGGGAGCCCAACTCATGTTTATTTTGCGCATCCGCTTTTTTCACAAAATAAAGTCGGGGGGTCAACTCGGAAGGTACTCATGTAATTGCCGCAGTCCAACATTTCCCAGGCCTTGAATGGACTTGAAAAAACGGCATTTCCTGGGGAAGTCACAGATTACCTCATGTTAAATTGAAATAAGCTCAGTCCAACGTTGAAGGGTTTTTCACAGAGGCCAAAATGATTTCGCATAAAAAAAGGGGTGGACTAAAATAAAATAGATGACTTACTTTAGGGTCCGACCCACCCCTACTTTATTTTGAGCCTGCTTCGGGGCTCGTTTGTCTATGTGCTTGAGTGTTTGTTCGTTTCTGTGTCTGTGTGTTTGTGTGTTTGTGTGTTTGTGTGTTTGTGTGTTTGTGTGTGTGTGTGTGTGTTTGTGTGTTTGTGTGTTTGTGTGTTTGTGTGTTTGTGTGTTTCTAGTTTGTGTGTGTGTGTGTGTTTGTGTGTTGGTGTGTTTGTGTGTGTGTTGTGTTTGTGTGTTTGTTTGTTTCTGCGTTTCTGCGTTGTTGCGTTTGTCTATGTGCTTGAGTGTTTGTTCGTTTCTGTGTCTGTGTGTTTGTGTGTTTGTGTGTTTGTGTGTTTGTGTGTGTGTTTGTGTGTTTGTGTGTTTGTGTGTTTGTGTGTTTGTGTGTTTGTGTGTTTGTGTGTTTGTGTGTTTGTGTGTTTGTGTGTTGGTGTGTTGGTGTGTTGGTGCGTTGGTGCGTTGGTGCGTTGGTGCGTTGGTGCGTTGGTGCGTTGGTGCGTTGGTGCGTTGGTGCGTTGGTGCGTTGGTGCGTTGGTGCGTTGGTGCGTTGGTGCGTTGGTGCGTTGGTGCGTTGGTGCGTTGGTGCGTTGGTGCGTTGGTGCGTTGGTGCGTTGGTGCGTTGGTGCGTTGCGTGGGTGGTGCGTTGGTGTGCGTGGGTGCGTGGGTGCGTGGGTGCGTGGGTGCGTGGGTGCGTGGGTGCGTGGGTGCGTGGGTGCGTGGGTGCGTGGGTGCGTGGGTGCGTGGGTGCGTGGGTGCGTGGGTGGTGCGTGGGTGCGTGGGTGCGTGG